GCAAACTGTCAGTGACCTAAGATATCAAGACATTTAGTATTTCATGAACTTTGCCTGATAATAAGAGTAGAGAATGACTAAGATTCCCAGTTAACTCATTTCTGGGTTCTAATAGTGGTGCTTGAATGTAGCTTAAACCTTGTTCAAATGCCATCTACATGTATTCCCTTTCAATGTACTCTGGCACAAAGAGCTATAGCTGTGAAATATAGTAGTGCAATTTCAGTGAGGTACAATGTTAAGCCATGAGGCAGGAGTTGAAGTGCTTTGTCATTGGAAGCCAGCACTTTTGAAAGCTTTGAGGGGCCTGGCCAAGCTGCCTTCCAGTACATACACATGCATGTATGAACACACAGAGTGTCGCCCTGGTTAAATCTCACAATAGCTAATTGAGGGTGGACTATGGCTCTAAAAATTATGCAGCTCTGGGTGCCAGTATTCCAAATTCTATCAGCCTGTCATTGTGAAGCAAAGTACCAGGAGGTAGACACAAGCACCTTCATTTTCCCTAATGCCTCTTGGCTGTACCCATGATCTAAACATAGAGACATAGAAACAGAGTGAGTCAGAAGGGGTCTCCGGGGCCATCTAGTCTGACCTCCGGTACCAGCTGGCTCCGCTCACTACATGATCTAAAATACGTTGGCAGTGGGGTTTGGTGGTATTTACAGTAAAGGCGTTAGCTTCTGTCACCTGACTTTGCATTTCTCCATGCAGAACTAGGGCATTCTGTATTTAAAAGGGGGGAGCTGGCAGGGTCAATAGGCACCAGATTTTGCCCGCCCATGTTACATGTTGATGCTGATGCCCCACATGTGATACACGTACCATGTTTACTTTGTAAGGTGACATGTCTCAGTAGTATAGCAGTGGGAAAGATTTTGCTCCCCAGGTTGTATAATTCAGACTGCATCTTTACTGATGTATCTTGTTCCCCTTTGCAGAACCCTCTTGTTCCACAATACTTTTTTGTAGTGGTGGTTGTAAAATAATTAGGAAGGAAGATGTTCACTCTGCCCCTCATGGTTTGTGCAGACCGTGGACATCTCTCAAGCAGATGGAGTGCATGTGGCATTTCCATAGTTAGAACCTGAGAACAGCAGTCGCCCTAGCATTCGACTCTGAATGTTCCCCGAAGCAGGTGCCCTTGCTTTAAGGGTTGGAGTAATACCAAGGTAAGCAGAACTACGCTCAGCGTTCTGCTTTGTGCAAGGCGGTACTTGCTTCAGTCTTGTGAGGCAGTGCTAAAGGCTAGAAAGTGTTGAGCACCTGAAGGGAACAGGTAGCTGTTCCTCATCCCTTCTTCTCTCCCTGGGGATAGTGCTGGGACTCCCACTCCCAGAATCCTCAAAGGAAATACTGAAGTTTTTTGAACATTGCCAGTAAGGAGGGCCTTCTCTCTGACAGCCGTGACTTGCATCATGCCAGTTTCTCACCAGGGATTCTGGAACTGGTTTCAGTCCCATTCTTGGCAAGCAAGCCACTCTGTTGGAGCTTGAGGAGTGGCAAACACTTTGCAAATGCCTTTTGAGCTTTTTGCAAGTGTTCATATCAAGCGTTTGCATACTAAAAACAGCAAAACAAAATTGAGCATGCAGTTGGAATCCTCACAAAAACTCAGTCACCCTGACAGAGAAGATTGTGCTGTCCTACTCTCAAATGTTCCCAGCCCTAGTTCTTTGGAATAGCAGAAACATATATGTAACCCTGCAAATACAAACATTGAAAAGAATATCATTTGCAGGTGAGCAACCTGTTTTTTCCTGATATCTAGATGTATGAGGAAATAACTTTGAGTTGATCTTATTTAGATAAAATGAGCTCAAGGCTTTGAAAGACATTATTATGAAATACTGCTTGCACATGTTTAAAGTTTTCTGTATTTTAAAAATTCAGCTTCTTATTTTTGTAAGAAATCTGAGGTTTTATAGGAACATGAGATCTCTCATTATGCCATGTGCATCCTTTAAATTATAGTCATTCTATAGGAGGGGAAATGATTGTAGTCCAACATTGACTGCTATTTGTTTTATTGAATTTTCACTTGGTCCGTGGTATGTAAATTGTGAACACAGTGACGCCAAGCATCCTATTGTGCTTGGAAAGCATTGAATGAAAGAAGTGTATGTATATACTGTATGATGAGTAAGCTTTGAAGCAACAATGAGAATGAACATGGATGAATTCTATATTTCATTTCATTACATCATCTGTAATGAAGAACCAAGTTTCACATGGTATTTGATGAATACAATGGAGATTAAGAGGTACAGAGCACAATTCTATGCATGTTGCAAAAGGAAAAAAAAAAAAAAAAAACACCTTCAAATGCCCAAGCAATGTAGGAAACCCATTCCTGCCTCATTCCAGAGAAGCGGCCATCTAACCTCTGCTTAGAAACCTCTAACAAAGAAGAGCCTTCCAAGGAAGTCTGTTTCACTATTGCACAGGTTCTAACATTAAAAAACACTTCTTAATGTTTCATTGAAGCCCTTTTTCTTGTAATGTTGAACCTTTTGTTCAGATCGCTACTCCAGAGCAACAGAGAACAAATGTGCTTCATCATCTGTGAAGTGGCCCTTCAAATATTTGAAGATGCCTTCAACTGTCTTTTCTCTAAGCTAAACACACCAAACTTGTAAACATGCTAAGAAAATGTATTTTAAAAGCTTAGTTTTATTCTCTTTGTCATTTTAGTGTTTCTAATCTGGGTAGTTTGTACAAATTTAATATTTAAATGATATTTAACCCTAACCCTAATCCTGGTTTAACTATATTTTTACCTTTATATATTTTGAATGTTTTGATTACATAAGCTTTTAATGTTGTGAGCTGCCTTGAGATTCAATCAATGGAAATGGGCAGGAAATAATAATGATAATGATAATACACACTAATAATAGCTCCTGGGTGTGTGTGTATCTTTTTTAAAACTCCAACAGAAGTTGAAGGAGTATCTGGAAGGAAGGAATCTCATCACGAAGCTTCAGGCCAAGCATGACCTCCTTCAGAAGACTCTGGGAGAAAGTAAGTCTGGAGATCGCTTGACATTGTGCCAGCCCATCCCTTGTAATTACTGAATTAGACAGCCGACTGAGCAGAACAATCTTGGATTATCAATGCTAAATGGACAAAGTCATGTTTTATGGATTTATTATTCTATCTCTGCAGTGCTGCTTAAGTAATGGTGAAAGGGAAGTGCTTAATGAGCCAGTAATGTGCCACATCTATTTGTTTAAGTGAAGCATATGTCCATTTCCCCTCTCCCCATTTCCCCCACCATCATAGCATTTCCACAGAATCGAATTGGGTAATCTTTTTAATTATTTTTTTACTGGCGTGCAAATGTTCTGTCGTTAAGGGAGGTGGTTTATTGTTGGCTTGGTTTGCTTTTTATCTCTGTGCCGTAGAGCAATTCAGAACAGGGGGGTTACAGGTAGAATTGGGTTGCTGTTTGGAATGCACAGCCTGTTAGCATTTCACTGAACTGGATGGACTATGAGCAATTGTAGCTGAAATGATTGGTTGACTCTGACACCAATGATGAACCAAGCTGCCAAAAGAAATCATGCATCTGAGCACCCATGAAAAACCCATCTGCCCAGCATCTGGAAAAAGGCAAGGTTAGGTAATCTGAAACACCTGTGTACGATAGAATTATCTGTTCATATGACAGTAAGAACCAGCTCTTAGTTGCAAGGTAGCCTTCTCTATTGATCTGCTATTCATTTACAAGATCCAGTGCTTTTTGGGGAAGAGCTAAATCAAAGGATTATTTCTAAATGTTGAAACATCCTTTGTACTAAAATTGTCTTTGATTGTTGTGAACTCTGTCCTTAGCCGTATGACTGGATCCCACTGGCCCAGAATTGGCTGCTTTTAATAGAGGTTATACTGGCACAGTGATTACAATGATGTGGCATTTTTATTTCTTCAGAGTAGTGTGTGTCTGTGAACATTAATGTGAATGATTTGGAAAGTGCTTTGCCTTCTGGATCCACAAGTATGCTGGATGAAGCTGTCAGTTATTTTTAAATTGACTGTTCTGTAAAAAGCGAAGAAGCAGTAGGCACATTTTCCAGTTTTCCTGACAAAAGAAATTGTTCAGCTGTCATACTAGTGAAACAAGTCAGAAAGGCCATATCCGGGGAGCAGTTCACCCTTTCTGGGTATCTCCATATAGTACTCAAGCTGCCCCTGTGACAAATCACATTCCTGAGCCATCACTGACTTCTACATTCCAATGCATGGCTCCTCTTAACCTGCCCCGCCTCCCGCCAATTCCCCACTGAGAAAGCAAGAAAAAAGATGAATGTATTTTTTGTCTGACTTTCAAAAAGCAGAAGGCCCCCTTTCCTTTTGCCTACTTTGTAATGCAGTTGTGGATTGGGTTGGAGTTAGGCTGCAAAGCTCCTAGTCCCTGTGCTTAAGCTATTAAGAGAGAGAGATGGAGGGAGAATTATCTACAAATTCAAGAAAGTTAGAGAAATATATTTCTCTCTAACCCAAAATCAGAACACGATAAAATGAGGAGATTTTAATTTCAACCCCAGTTCATAAATGCTATTGAATTAGAGAGTAAGTAATTGAAATCTTTTTGCAATTTTGGCACTACTTCCTTGAGAGAAATTGCTTGGCAGGCTGCAAAATCTGAGTTGTTGTCACACTGCAGGATCTCAGTGTTGTATTGTGTTCTCCCTCCCACACCTCTTCCCTTTAAAGTGACATTTGACTCCTCTTACAAATTATTTTAATCTAAAGATGACAAGTTTCATTAATAAAAGTACCAGCAATTCCTTCTATCTATGAGTAATTATTTCCCTACCTTCCATCTGCATTTTGTCACTGTAATGCTAGAGCCCTTTGATGTAGCAGCAGCCATGTAATTTATACATATGAATATTCTGTGATGGAAATAGGACAGATGGTAAGAAACTCTGGTTTAGAATAATGCTGTTATAAATTACGTGCCATTCTGGGTAATGGAGGTTTATGTTGGGAGGGAAGAAGTAACTGTTCAAAATGTGTTATTTATTTTCCATGATCAACAATTAGCCCCATTCTCATCACTTGTTTTTAATCTTGAGCTGTCAGGCTAAATTCTTAGCTGATGTGAATCAACTGCATTCTAGTGGAGAAACCAAATCTGTCTCAGCTCTGATATGTGCCAGATGATTTGTGTGTCCTCTTTCTTACTCCTAATGGTGCTGTCTTTAAATATTGCCTGCATTGGCAGCTGACACAGCGGTTTAACCCTTTTCTTTATAAAGCAAAAGCAGATTAGTGAAAGATTAAAAAGTATAAATATGATTTTGGAAAATATCATTAAAGCTGTAACGCCTAAACTACATGGGGATGCTAGCAAATTCCAGGCCAACAAATCTGTGAAGTTTTTCAGTTTTCCCAGCTGGCTCTATACACTTATAAGTAACTATAAGCTACTGAATCCTCTAAGAAGATGACTGAGGAAGAAATCTCATAGTTATCTTGGGTAACAGAAATCAACCATTAGTGCATCTATAGCAAACAGATTTCTAAGAAAATTAAATACTTTCCAAAGGAAGAATCTTCAGTCAGTTTGGAGGTGCTTTATGTCTTTCCTGGTTAGGCGCCAAGGAAACTTCCTAGCAAGGATGGGTTGTCCTGATTAACAAAAGGGTCATGCAGGGGGGAAGCAGCTGCTCTGTCCCACCTCCACCCACCCCAGTCCCTTTTCCAAACTGGGGTTGGAGCCATTTCTGTCAGTCTCTCATTCTTGTGCTCTCATCTTTTTAAACACATTTATTTTTCTCTTTATAGGTCAAAGAACTGACTGCTCTCTTGCCAGGTACGTGTAGCCGCAAGTAGCATTGTTATTTCAGTATCTTCCAGTCACCTAAACAGCCCTTTTTCCCACTCTAAACAAACATTAGCTAATTACTTAATTAGACTCCCCCCATTTTTTATTTTGATGGCACCCCGCATGCGTTCGGTGTCTTTTCTAAAACGTTGCAGCTCCTGCAAATGTGAGCTTCCATTTGGAAACTATCCAAGCAACACCCCTGTCGTAGTACAAGTATTTTGTAACCTAAAATATACTGGACTGTTCCATACAGCAAAGCCGAAGAGTAGTTTGGTACGTATTGCTTACACAGAATTCATTCAGTCAAGTTCTGTGGAATTTGGATAGCTTTGGATTTCAAGTGGTTGAGAAGCATGGATTACTGAGATTGGATTGGTTCTTATGTCCAACTTCTAGTCTAAAAGCAGAGCTTGACATTACGCTACAGTGGGGTTGCCACCGAAAGCGCAAGCCTGTATCATGTTGCCCTCCCAACCCTGTACGCTTGATGCAGATGTACAGATATTGTGAGACCATCATACCTTGCACATTCCCACCCCAGCATCAAATCCTTGACTCTTGCTGCGGGGAGCTGAGAAAGAGCATATGTACGAATTTCTAAATAATATGGGGAGCATCACACCTAGGGCCACCCTAAGAAATTCACTTAGAAGACAGAGCCTGTGGTAATCAGCTAATGTGTGGTAAGTTTCTTCTTTTTTCCGGGACAGGCAGGAACGCCATGCTTTTCTGGATTTATCCCTGTCATGAGGGATAAAAAGCCCTGAAACAAAAACTCGAAGTGCTTTTGATTGTTTAATGGGGGAGGGGGAGATCAGTCAGATAAGGGTTTTCTTTCACTTTGCCCCATTGACCTCATCTGGTCTGACATGGAATTGGATTGCAGCAGTGGAGGGAATAAACGTTTTGTTATAACTGGGCCTGGCATCAATCATGCTATCATAAATGTCAGCACATATGTGGAACTAATAATAGAAAAAAATGACTTTGGAGTGGGCCTCCAGTGAAATGTTACACATCCTCAAATTGCCATTCTGTATTGGCCTAGAAGTCAAGATATGCATGTGGACCAGAGGGGCAGGGAGTATTTACGTGTACACACACACACACACACACACACACACACAGCTTTTTGATAAAAGCAGGATGATTATTCCATATCTGGAGTCATTACATTCCTCACAGTAAAACAAACATGAAAGGTCCTAATTAGTCTTAACATCTATAATAATAAAATATTATTGTGGGGTAACATTAAATTTTGCAATATCATTTAGGCTGAAAGTTTAAAATATATTACATTGTCCATAACAGGATCCACTTTTTTCTCATCCCTGCAGTTTGCTCTTTCTTGATTCTTTTATTTATTTTATTAAAACACTACAAACTTGAAAGTGTAATTGTGATTCTTAGGCACAAGCAAGATTACCAGTCTAATTTAGCAGCCATCTGTCCTGGCAGGGAGTTAAGTTATATAATCCACAGACACTTTGGTACCCTTTATCTCCTAAAATTTCATTTTGCAGAATAGAAAATGGTTCAGTCAGAAGCTAAAGTGGAAAGAAGCCAAACCAGTCCAAAGCTGGTTTGAAGCACCATGTAAGGGTGAGGAGGTGTGTTCCCATGCCACAGGTGGACTTTCACATTTTGCAAATTTGGCTTCAGAAGAGTTGAATACAACTGTTTTAATGTGTGAAAGCTCCCTCCCAATCAGTGGACTAGCATTCCTTGATTTTAACACCACTTGAGACACTGGGAAACTGCTGCCATTCAATGCCAGCAACACTGAGCAAGATGGCAGGGTGGTCTGCCTTAGTTTAAGGCAGGGTCCTGCTTTATTTATGTATTTAAATTGTTTTTAGGCCTCCTTTAAGGGTAAAACCTGCTCAGGATGGTGTACAATATTTTTAAAAACCATACAAAAGAGATACAAAGAACTCAATAGCTACATTTTCTTCAAAATGTCAATAAAAAGAAATGTCACTGATTTAAAAAAATCAGTAGAAACAGATGTTACCTAGAACCAGCAGCCCAAGAACTTAGGGAAGAGCCACCCAGAACAGATGGGCTTTCAGTGCATTCCTACAGACCTACAAAGAAGGGGCCTGCCAAACTCCCAGTGGAAGTTGATTCTAGAGATGGAGGGCCACTACTGAGAAGTTCCTCCCTTTTACTCAACAACCTAACTGACAACAGGAACGTGAGAAGAGCCCATGCTGATGTCCTCAAAGTGCAGTCGAGATAGTACAGGAAAAGCTGGTCCTTCAAGCAACTAAGGTTACTTGAAAGTTTGTAACTAGAACATTAAAGTATGTGTTGAAATGCACTGGTAGCCAGTGCCGCTGACACAGTATCAGCAAACTGTCTAGCCCCTGGCAGTGTTCAAGTCACTGTATTTGTCTCCAGCTGGAGTTTCCAAACTGTCCATAAAGGAAGTCCTGCGTTTAAGCATGTTAGAGTATGTCTGTTAGGATGTCACCAGAGCTTGAATAACCAAGAACCTTCCTTTCCAGATACAAGCCTAAACTGGTAAAAAGCCATCTCCTGACTTTCCCAGTAAACATCAAGTTCAGGAGCACTGCTAAACTGTGTACCTGGTCCTTAGTGGGAGGATGACATCTAATAATAACTATTCCTTTATCCCTTCATGCTGTGGAAGCAGGTACAGCCCAAATTTGAGGAAGAAGTGCAAGAATAACACAAATAGTAGTAGTCAGGTGCCTATATATCCATTCCAGATAAAAACAGGAACGTACCAGTTTCTGGATTTGAAAAATAACTGAGATTCACAATCATTTTCCTTTAGCACCTGCTCTAGAGCCTTCATGAGTCAGTAACTACTTTTCAAAAGATAACAATTGTATGTTTATTATTCATTAATTTGCACTTATTGGCAGCTGCCTTGGAGATCTGTTGTCAGGCAGTTATTTATTAAATGAATATATATGTTGCTTTGTACTTTTATACCACAGCCAAGAGTAGAGGAGACAGGGCAAGAAAGGAGACAAGTATAGGAGACAAGGCAAGAAAGAAATTACAGAACTGTTTTAGGCTGAGTTATATTAGTTGATCCATTTAGCTCAGTGCTGTCTGCTCCAGGGATTCTCCATTCTCTTTCCCCACAGGTGTTTTCCAGCTCCAAAGACAGTTTAAATAGACATGTTGGGGATTGCACATGACTTTCTGCATGCAGAGCACATGCTTCAACTGCAACTGTACCCTAAACTTTGCCATGTTGTATGTTGTCCTTCGAGGCCATTGGGGCATGTAATGATTACACTATAGCCACAAGTTTTTCCCATTTCCAGCTGCAGTCTCCATGATGTAAACCACTCCAAAAATAGCTCCCCTGTTCTCTGTGGAAGAGAATGGAGACATACCAGCTCTAGAAGTTCTCAGGAAGTTCTAGCATTGAAATGCGTATCTTAATGGTCCTTAAGATTCCAGTGAAGCCTCCTTCAAGAGGAACTGTTACTGTTGCTGTCCAGCATGGATCTTCTAGCTACCTCCCATACTTCTCCTCAACCCTTGCTTATTGAAATCCATGGTCTGGAATGTCAACAAATACTTTCTACCCAAAGTTCTCAGCGAACAGGATGGCAGTGAAAGTAATTTGAATGAGTGCTTGAATATTTTACAATAGCCATTCCCAACATGGGGACCTCCAAGTTCTAGGACTAAAATGCCTGTCATTCCCTGGAAGTGCTGGGAGCTGCACATCTGACCGGCTCCACACTGGGGAAGGCTTTTCCATAATAATTGCTATAATATAATGATTATAATAATCTTATAATAATGATAGCAAAGTCCATACATGCTGCTTAGTTGTATTCAGCTCCTTGGACAGTATAGTGTCTTGCATTTAAAATGAACCTAAGAACATCTGCCCTTGAAATTTAGTGGGGTCAGCATAAGTTTAGTCTATAGAAAAAGAATATGATGAATTGAACCCTAACCCCATCCCCAGCAGAGAAGACTTGGCAAAAACACAAATAGTGATTCTACTCTCTTTGGCTCATGCACTAAGTTCTAAGAATATAAACAGTAATTCTGATAGCATTTGTAATTGCAGACTTATTTCAATATGGTTTAATGAGTCTACCATTCTCCTTTTGCTGAATACATGTGTAAATAAATATGCTTGCATTCATCTCAGAGAGAAAAAACAATTTCCTTTCCCCCGCCCTAAATCTAAATCACCAAGGAGAACACACCTACTTTAAAATGTTGCTGCTTGTAAATTATTGGTAACTGACACTAGAATGATAGGTCTTTATAATGGATTTCTCTACAGCTGGAAGTAAAAGGTTAAGTATAGCCTTATGTTAGCAGTAAGCTCTGCTCAGCCCATTTGGGCATTACAGTGCATTATTTTGAGAACACTTAATGTTTGTAAAAGTCAGAAGAGGAAATATTTTTTTGTTTCTAGTCCCTCTCCACCTTCAGCCCAAGGAAGAGCCACTTATTTATCAAGTGAACTGGTATTTTGATTGTAATTGATTCTCATGACAAATGCCTATGCTTTTTCCTTCTCCTCACTGCTCCTCACTTGACTTTTGGACCAACAGCAAACGCAGCTCTACCATAAGAAAGCAGGTAATGAAAACATAATGCAATTATAAAAGATTATTTGAAGTTATTTGTATGTTTACCAGATGCTGTTGGACAGAAACCTTGGCGGCCCCCAATATTTCATAGCGGGAAAAATATTGGGACCAGCCCAAATCATATCAAGACACCTGGTGCGTATAGTCCAAAAGCAAGTGGTACATGCTCACCTTAGAGACCTTAGACTCCAGAAGAAACTGTAAATGGGATTATTAGTTCAAGGAAAAACTGAGCCACATTATTTTTGTGTTTGGTAATGTAGTAAGCACATGAAACAACCAATGGAATGGTTTTATATTCAAGGCAGGAGTGTGGAACCTCAAACCCAAGGTCCCCATCTGTTTCGCCAGTAGGCCCCACCTCCTTGCTAATCACTAATGATTTTGTGGCTTTCGGGCTTGTGTGCATTCTCCTCCCCAACTCACCCCGATCTAGCAGGACAATCCTACAGTTTCTAGACAATGACAACGGGACCATAGGATTCTTGATTTCCCAGATCCAAGGCTGAAAAAGAGTTTCATACACAGGACTTAGATCACCCTCACCTCTTCTCCTTTGGCGAGGAAAGAACTGCACTGGCTGTTTCTCTGAAGTTGTGAGACTGCCCTTTGAGAAGGGGTAAAGGTGGCATTACATGAAGAAAGGAGGAAGTCCAAGTTCCTAGGTGCTCCAGCCTCCTTTCCTCCCTAGTCCTGAGCTAAATGACCAAAAATGACCATCTAACTGACTTGCATGGAGGTGAAGTGCTTAAAAGTTTAGATGCTTAAAAGTATCCCCTCTGGATTGTGCTCTGAATTGTTGAAATGATTCTGCTAAGGTTTAGCTGCCTGGCAGTAAGGGCTTGAGCTAAAATGTATAGATATTTGGCCTCACCCTTTTTCCTTTGCCCCCATCAACCACTGAGATGCTTCTAAGAGTTTCTCCAAAATTGAAATTTTGAACACTGGGGTTGAAAGAGGTTCAGAGTCTTTGATTTCTTTGGCATTACCATTACTGTCAACAACTGATTGTGCCATGATATATAACAGGCAATTCCAGTGTCACACAGCAGAGCCAGTAGCCCTTTAGAACTCAGTGCTGATCAGTTTGATTTCAGGAATGATCAAGATGAGATGTACACATAAGCGATCAGTCAAACTTTCAGGTGAACAGGGAAAGGTGTGGAAATGGGGAGGTCAGCTTGAGGTAGTCCCATTAGCCTGGTGCACAGCAAGTGAACAGGCTGTGACCATTAGTTATACATAACATTGGAGCTAAAGGGATGAGGAGGGAGGAAAAGAGTTTGGCAAGCCAAGGTCCCTGCTGATTCTCCTTTAAGGTTGTGTTTTAGTACTCTTTGTTGTAACGCTAGCATTTGTCTAATTGGGATGTTATGTAAAAATGTTTACCATTACCATGGAAAAATTCTAACCCACCCCTTTCTGTGTGTGTGTGTGTGTGTTTCCTCTTAGACTCTATGCAGGAATTTCAGAGTTTGAAGCTATTGCCCTCTAATGGCTGCGACTTGCATGAGCAATATATCTCAATACTTTCATAATTAGCTTATTGCGTCAGCCTACTATAGTTTTCTTTGCTAGCATTATTGGCTGCTCCTCTTGCATTTTTATCCACTTCAGTGGGATTTTGTTAAGTGTGCACGTGTGGTCTATTAACAAAGATCCTCTTTATCCTTGAAAATGACTTTGTAATGGCATTCTAATTTTTGACACTGTAAGAGCAACTCTAGAATGTACTGTGACATAAAGGAACTGAGATTTTGATCAACTTTTGACATAAAGGAACTTTTGATTTGAGGCTTCATTTCAGTTGTTTGCTCATGGTGTGTGTGCTTTTTTTTATTAACTTGAAGCATACAAAAATCTTAATTTAATTTGGCCAGAAAGTAGCCTGTTTCTATTTTGGATTCCGTTCTGTATCAGGATAACCAGCTCCATGTGTCTCTTACTAATGACAGAGCTGGCAATTTGCTTTACATCTTTGTTTCCCATTGCTGAACTGCAAGACAAAATATATTGCCTTAACATGCTACAAATAAGACATGTGAAAATTTAATATGCAGTTTTCTTGCAAACTAAGCTCTTTGTTGCATCCAAATATGTTTACTTTTATACTCATGTGCTATGAAGCTTTTCTTTTGAATTGAAATGAAAGGTTTTTAAACCCTTTGAATTTATTTAATTGTATATGCATAGTATGCACCCTAGGGAAATGAGGGTGGAAATGTTTGCCATAATTTATATAGTTGCATCATATTTCAGGCTATACAAATGAGATGCTCTTTTATTTTCTAAGGGCCCTTATAGGCAAGATATGTTTTTTGCCATCCCTGTTGTTCTTCTTTTGGAAAAAATGAATCTTTGGAGAGCCGAAAGACTTGATTTCTAGAGTCTGTGGCTTTGTTTATGCCTCTGGACCTTCAAAGGTCCCTCTATAATATACCAGCTACATTGAGCTTTGTCACTTCAGCACTGCAATTTAAAATATTCCATGTGTCTAAATAGATACTTAAGTGCGTCTAGGCAGTCCTGTTCTTCAGTACTTTCATCTGTGCCTCATGATATCACTTACAGTTGCAGGTGTACCCTCAAAAGTGCATGCTTTTAAAAAGGATTCTTTCAAATGGGAATGCATCGCTTCTTTAAAAAAAAAAAAAAAACCCTAGAAAAATCCTCATCCTTCCGACAGGGGCAGGGTGGAAGATGGAACTAATATGGTACAAAGACTCATGAGGCACAGTGTTAGTACTGTAAGCACAGACACATACGCTTGTTAGTTCTCATTCAAAATGAGTCAACCAGCATTTTAGCCTTCCTTATTAGAGTGAATTACAGCTCTCTTAATTAATAGAAAAAAAATCCCTGCAGGTAGGGACATCTTCGGGGAGGGAGCCAAATCTTTTTTCCTAATGAAACCAGCTGTTTAGGGGCAGCAGGCTTTGACCTTCCCCCAGCAGTCTTGTCAGCCGAATCCAATTTACTTTTTGTCATGAAACATAATGGGATCCATGGAGAATCAACCTCACCTTTATCTATATCATTGGGATCCTGTATTGACATAGGATTGCCCTTGGTTCCACTTCTTGATTATATTGTTCTGACATCAGTATTTGAAAAAAGATGGAACCCAATAATTGGCTTTTATATACATGCTAAGTATGAATGCTATGCCATTATTATTTTGCACTACAGTTCTTAAAAACAAAAGTTTCTCTGGATCACTGCAGTTTTCTTCAGTAGAGATTGATCTCAGTATCCATTTTAATCCACCTATGAATCATTAAAATTTTATTATTTTAAGTACTAATGTAGTTGTTGAATAGTATAGCACAAGAAGAATAGGAAGCATGAAAAATGGCAGCTTCCCTTTGTCCATCACAATAGAATTTGACACAGAAATTACCTATTCAAATATCCTGTACAACTAGAAGGGTTAACATTGCAGAAAGTTTCTTGCAGTAACTTGTTCCAGTCTTAGGAATTCATCTTCTGATGGTTGGTTGGGATATGCTGGAAGATGTAGTCCAGCACATCTGGACCAGTTTGGGGAAGCCCTGTTGAGTTAAATGAGCAAAAAAATCTAACTTTAGGCTCAAGCCAGGGATCTTTTCAGTTTATATTTGTGTGTATGTTCTGGCCATTTAATTTGTCTATAAATGGTTTTCCAGTGCATGTGAACACATAAAAACATATATTGTGGAAAGTGCATATTGTATAGAGTTTTGGGACCTGAATATGGTTTCATACCTTACTAATTGTAACATGCCCTGAAATAATTTAACTGTTTTCATTGTATTTATTCTCTTTTTGTTGTTCAGGATTCTAGCCAGGCTATTCCCCTGGTAGTAGAAAGCTGCATACGATTCATTAGCAGACATGGTAAGTTCAGAAGCAAGCACACTGAACAGTAGTATTTGACTCCTGATACAACCATGGGCACACAGATTATTCTGTTAGGCTGGTGTTCAAAAAGCATGTTAAAACATAGTTCATGAGGCAGCCAAGCATAAGAGACTTGCTGGGAACACCATATGGATCATCTTAAGTTCCATAGTGGCAGGGGAAAAAAGAACAAAAGTAAAAGAAAGCTGGGGATTGATTAAAAATTCACTCTGAAAAAGGTGAATTTTGGCATGTTTTGTTTGTGCTTGTTTTTAGCACTGCCCTTCTGTATGTTTATTGCTGTGTCATTTGTCATTATAAGCTACCCCAGACATTTTGAAATGGAGGCAGTATGGACATGTGCTAAGCAATACACAGCGACTGGGTCAAACTCTTGTTTCCCATGCCATTCTCCACTGCTTTCCTTTTGTGCAATGTCTTGGAGGCATCAGGGGCAAGTTCGTGCTTTCATTGAACTATCAATTGTCCATTCACAGTCCATTGTATTGCTTTGTTACATAATTTACATTTAGAGAGCCAGTGTGGTGTGGTGGTTAGAGTGCCTTGCCTTTGCTTGCTAATTTTTATTGGTTTCCATTGATAGCTTTGTTGTTTCATCCATTCTGTTTTAGTCATTTTACAGTGTTTTTATTGCTGTTTGATTATTGTGCTCATGTTGTTACTTTGTGAGGCAACTTGAATGCCTAGCATAGCAAGTCAGGATATAAGTCAAATGAACAAGTGGCAAACAAATACACTGTGATCAGATGTATTCTGCCAAAACACTTGGCTTGTGCACCACGGAGACTTCAATCACTCTTTTATCAATAGTGTAAGAAAGAGGAATGCAACACGGTACCTGTGGACACTGACGCACTCCCAGGCAACTGTCAGGGTTTGCTGCCCGTCCCACTTTTTAAAAACTAATACATTTTCTTCAACAGCTGAGGTTGCTATGAAATTGTTACTGAAAATTGTCTATTCAAATGAGTTTATTCAAACATTATTTTAATTTTTAGTTGGTTTTAACTGGAGTTTTATCTTGACTTACTGGATGCTGTGTTTGTTCCTTGTTGTAAGCCATCCCGAGATGTTAGTGGTTGGACAGGATACAAAGTTCTAAATAAATAAATAGTGTGTTGAAATTGAGAGCACACCTCTGCCTTCTGCTTAATCATTTGAGCAGGTTCTTTGCCATCTGTTCCACAGAAGTCATAATATGGTAGTGCCAAGAGCAGGTTTGCAAACCACCCAATGCTCTCACAAGGAATGCCTGCTTATGCTACAAAGTATTCTCTAGTGCTTAGGTGGCAAACAGGAAGTTACTGTTTCATAGAAACCCGCTTAGCGCTAGGATCCATGCACCAGGTTTCCTTCAGTTTTGAGATTTCAGCAGGCTCTGTCCGCATATTGCTTGAACTTTCTCTTTAATCAGAGTGGAACATAGGCTTTTATCTACACAGCAAAAGTTTATTTAAAACTGTTGTTTGTCACAAGTTAAAAGAGGCATGGAACAAATGTTAATCCACGGGAAATAAGGTATTCTCTGGAACATTTTTTTTTTAAATTACAGGAAAAGAGAAATACAATATATCCAGAGAAATTACAATGTTAATATAAATGACCCATAGATCAAAGTACTACATCTTGTTGGATGAATTTTTGTCTAATCTCCTTACCGCTAACACAAACATTGCAACTTTTATGTATAACAGAAGTTTTGTCATTGGATAACAAATAACAGATTTTCTCAAATACATTATAAGCTACATTTCTGACAAGAATCTGTGACACAAATCTACCCGTAGGAGACATAGAGTTGGATCCAAAGTCTTCCCCCTGTGAACGGATGTTCCCTATCCTTCATCAAAGGGTCTTTCCATTCACAGAGAAAAGACTTTGGCTCTGGTCCATAATTAGTGGGCTGGGCAACATGTAATACATTACAATATCCAGATTTTTGCATGCATCCACAATGCACCATTAGTAGCGTTCACATAGCTTCCTTTAAAATATAGTCTGAAAACCTTTGGCAGAGGTAAATTGTTGCGTTCAGCGGAAAATGGTGCTTCACCATAATTTAGTTATAAGAAGCCTTGTTTAAGCTCTGTGTCCAGTATGTATGTATGTATGTATGTATGTGTGTATTTGTGACCTGCTTAACAGTTTCACCCTTAAGGCCGATTAAATGCCTTCTCATAGAAGGCAGTCTTAACCTGGTGCTGAAAAGATAGAGTTGGAAGCAGGCAGGCCTCAGTGAAGAACCTATTCTACAATTGTTGGGTCACTGGGAAGGCTCTCCCCATTGCTACCAGCAACAGACCCTCTCTGGGAAGTGGCAATCAGAGGCAAGCCCCTTTGACTGGAAATCAGTGGGAATACTGATTTCCCTCACCTTTCCTTAGGTCACATCCTATTCAGTAAAAACATTTGTTTCATGTTTATCACACATCTGTTCCCACTGAGCTAAACAACCCAGCGATGCTCCATCCCTGGATTGCTGTCCATGACCCATGAACCTAGAATTCTGGTTTTTTGGGAGAAAGACCAGATTTGTAACCCATAGTTTGTTCCTGGATTACAACTCAAGTTTTCTTTCGTTCAACAATTTACAATAGGTAGTCCAGACCCTACCGCTAATAATCTAAGGTTGTTTATTTCCACCTGGAATGATCAGATGGTAAAAGAAAGTATTGTTCCCACATGGTCATTACTACCCATAATTTGAACCTAATGAACAGTTATGACATGTGAACAGGTCCAGCTAATAATTTGTGAATTACTTCCCTTAATTTGACTTGGTCCTTTAAATTGACTCAGCAAATCCTTACCTTTATTCTGGTTTGGATGATTCCCAACTGCAACATTGCTACCTAATTAACCTGTCTTTCTTTATAAATAAATTATAAATTAATTTTGAAAACTTGGTAGGAGCTACCAAATTTCTACTTTCAGTGATGGCACCGGTAGCTAGTAGACTACCCAGAGATTCTTGGCTATTTGGTGGTATACAATCAAATAAATCAATAAATAGATAGCATTTCTCAAACAGTCGCTTGTTTTTATCTGTTCTGGAGAGCAATTTACATTTATTTATTTATTTATTTATTTATTTATTTATAGCATTTTTATGCTGCCTCCATCGCAGAAAGCCTCGGGCAGCTTACAAAAAAAGATAAACAACATAAGATAGAATAACATTAAAAATTTGGAGCATCTGGGCAATAGTTTAAAACCAATAAATAAGAACAACAATTAACAATTAAAATATTGTTTAAATAAAAAGGTGTTGGCCTGGTGCCGAAAAACAAATAACGACCGGGCCAGGCGGACCTCTCTGGGGAGCGCATTCCATAGGTGGGGCACCACCGCAGAGAAGGCCCTCTTCCAGGTACTCACGCTCCTAATATCCTTCACAGTGCCTCCCAACTCCCAATCCCGCAAGCCTATCCAGAAGGATACCATGGTCGATGGTATCGAAAGCTGCTGAGAGGTCCAGGAGAACCAACAGGGACACACTCCCCCTGTCCTTCTCCCTGCACAGGTCATCATACAGGGCAACCAAGGCAGATTCAGTACCGTACAGGGGTCTGAAGCCGGACTGAAATGGGTCCAGATAATCAGTTCCATCCAAGAGTGCTTGGAGTTGTCCCGCCACCACCCACTCTAACACCTTGCCCAAGAACGGGATGTTGACTGCTGGTCTATAATTGGCGGCCACCTCTGGATCCAGAGATGCCTTCTTTAGGACTGGCCGGATTACCGCCTCCTTTAAAGGAGCAGGTACCCAGCCGTCCCTTAGAGAGGCGTTGACAACCTCCAGGTTCCAGGTCCCAATCTCATCCTTGGCTTTCTTGAGTAGCCAAGATGGGCAAGGGTCCAGTAAGCAGGTGGTAGGACGTACTTGTCCAAGCACCTTGTCCACATCATCAGGCCGCAGCAACTGAAACTCATCCCTCAATTGTGGACCAGACAGCAACATTGGCACCTCCCCAGTAGAATCTGATTCACTAGTAGAGTTCAGCTCATGACGAATCTGAGCAATTTTCTCCCTGAAATGCTTGGCGAAGTCGTCACAGTGGGCCTTCAAGGGTGGCATGAGATCTTTCTTGGGGCCCAGTTGTACCAGCCCCTGTACCACCTGAAAGAGCTCCGCCAGACGGCATTGTGAGGAGGCAGTGGAAGCGGAGAAGAATTTCTTCTTCGCCGCCCTCACCGCCCCAGCATAGGCCCGATAATGGGCTCTTAAGTGTGTTCGGTCAGATTCATCCCATGATTTCTTCCACCTACGCTCTAGATGTCTCCCAACCCACTTCATCGCCCATAGTTCAGGTGTATACCAAGGGGATGAATGGGCTCCGCCAGGTGGGAGAGGACACTTAGAAGCAATCGTGTCAATAGCCCTGCTCATTTCCCCATTTCATAGTTCAACCAAGGCATCAACAGAAGCACCAGCCTTATCAACCGGGAAATCCCCCAGGGCCTTCAGGAATCCATCCGGATCTATTTGGCTTCGGGGGTGGACCAGCGCAATCGGGTCCGCACCCTTACAGAGGGAAAGGCCTCTCTTGAGCTCAAACCTCATGAGAAAGTGATCTGACCATGACAGGGGTGTCAGACACAAGTTCCTCACCCTCAGATCACCCTCTTCCTGCTCCGTCGAGAAAACCAGGTCCAGAGTGTGTCCACATTCATGGGTCAGGCCAGTGACGTGTTGAGACAGCCCCATGGCCGCCATGGAGGCCATGAAGTCCTGAGCCACCCTGGTCAGAACCGTCTTGGCGTGGAGGTTGAAGTCCTGGGAGTCTTCAGCACCAAATCCTAGATGGTCTCCGTCAGCTCAGACAGGGAGTCTGTTGGGCAGAAGGGTGCACAGTACACCAACAGAATTCCCAGTCTGTCTCGGTCACCCAACACCAAGTAAAGGCACTCTAGACCTGGCCTCGAGAGGACAGGAAGCCCCATGAGGGAAATAGAGGCTCAGTAAACCAAAGCGACCCCCCTCCCCTCCCCTCCCCTCCAGGCGTGGTCAGTGCTGGATCAGATACCCGGGCGGGCACAGTTGAAAGTGGGACATGTCACCCCCCTCTCCCACCCAAGTTTCTGTGATGCAAGCCAGGTCGGCCCCCTCATCCACAATCAAGTCGTGGATGAGGGAAGATTTATTTTGGACCAACCTGGCATTAAGCAGCAGCACCGACAGGCCCGGGGGACGGTTGACAGGACTACCTGGAACCCTCAGGCTGGGGGAATAACCAGAAAGAGGAACAGGTGCTAGCCATCTGTCCCTCCTTCTTCTACGCAGACACGTTAGACCCCCCAACACCATAATGTCCATTGCCCATGACCACCCCAATGGCGGCGCCCACGCACTCCCCAGGCAACCCCATATTCATAGCCAAGAATGACTCCATTAACAATAAAAGCTAAAAACACATTAAAAACACTTAAAAACACTTTAACCCCCCCCCCAACATGTCCCAATCCAATTAGCAATCCCACCCTCCGGCTGACAACATAGCCCCTGGCCAGCCCAGCCCCCGCACGACCCCCAAACGGCTCCCAAACGGTGGCAGCCACCGGCCCCGGCCACATCTGGCGAGATAAGCTGGTGGCCCATCCCCGCGCCTCACCCCCAATCCAGCGTGGCTCTCACCCAGCGCCAGCGGGGTAGAGAAACAAGCGCGACCGCCCTGCACTCGCTGGCCGGCAAGATGGCGGCGTCCTCCCCAGCAGCAGCGTTGTCGACCGGCTGGCGTCCTCCATTTAATTTGTTAAGGCACTGATTGCCCAGTATATATAGACAAGTATTCCAGAGCCTTTTAGAATTTGGAATGGAATGAAAATGAATTTTAGTGAACTTTCCTATATTTTAGATCTCTTACTGCTGAACTTATAATTCTGCCATCTTTTACTTGCAAAAGTTCTGGTGTTTAAATTTCTCAGACTTATCCTTAGGATATAGGGACGAATCGCTTCCAGTGATATTCCTGAAAGAACTATGTACCAGTTCACTAAATTTGTTTTAGGTTGCATTAAATTTCTTGCATTACTGTTTAATGGTAGAATTTCATATTGTTGTGTTGCTGTGAACTCAAATCACTATATCACCATAACTTCTTTAAAAAGGAATGTTGTAAACATAGGATTTGTTTTTTCTGCTGTCATGGATTTTTCCTCTCCTCTTAACAGGGCTACAGCATGAAGGAGTATTCAGGGTGTCAGGATCTCAGGTTGAGGTGAATGATATCAAAAATGCATTTGAACGAGGTAAGAGCAGTTGTGTTTTGTATTGCACAATTCTTTCTACCAATGTGTTTTCATGATTCAAGGTTAGTATTTCGGAGACACAGAGGCAGCAGTGTGTCTTCAGTTATTTCCATTTGTGTACTATGACTATAGGCAGAGTGTTTTTCCCCTACTGTACAATAACCTTCAGAATCTAAAAACACTTAACACTATGCTTCTTGTTACATCTCCATATAAATTTCATTCAGATCTTCATTTTTGCTTTGGCAAGTAGTATCAGAAGTCCTCATCTTTCCAAGCAGGCTTCAGAAATGATTTTATTACATTTTGCATAAAATACTTATATACAACGTACTTGGGACAACTTTATGGATGTATGCATTCACAGAATGAACATTTCTCAATCCTTCCACTTCACTGCCAGCATCTGCCTCCTAAAAAGCTTCTCCTGAAGGTCAGTGGTCATCCTGAATAATGTGGGACGGCATGTCAGGGGTTCCTGGAGGTGTTGGCATTCAAAGTCATCGAAAGGTCTGTTCAGTAATAGATGATGCATCCCTCGCCAAGTAGCCCTTCACATCCCATCCAGCATAGTTTAGGATGAGTGGTGAGTGTCTTTTAGCCCAAGGGACAAGTTATGTTTTCTCCAAGGCAACCTCCCATGGGTGGTGAAATCAAAGGAAAAGAAGGCAGAGTCAAAATGTGAAATTTCCATCATATCAGCTTAAAATTTCTTACTATCAGCAACCCAATCTTAGGCATTTCAACCTTTCAGAATGGGGTAGGGGGAACACCACAACTGTTCGGAAACCACCAAACAACCAGTGGTTGGGGAAAGGGGGTGGGGCATGGGGAGGTGGGGAATCTCAGAGGGCCAGATTTGGTCAGTTTTGGTCCCAGGGCCCTTGGTTTAGGATGACCCTCCTAATTCCCTAGAGTGGCTTTTTGGGGAAGGACAAATTGGGAAATTTGCCTCCTGTGAACTTGCTTAAATTAATGTAGCAAAGAGTCCAAGCCTATACACTGAATCTAGATTTATTTAATCTAGACTCAATCAGGAAAGTATTTTGATGTCAACATTTGGAATCTGCATTCTTCAGTCAAGCTGAAGGACTGTCTCAACGATATATAGTATTCTACATTTGAAGTGTCTGTCTAGTATAAACAGAGTGCCATGTCAACAGGACTTTTTAGCTGGTAGCCAAATGTGTAACTTTACATAGCTCTGAGGTTCTTGAGATCTCAGTGTGCATTTGTCATTTACCTAGAAATAAAACATGATGAAGGAAATTGGCAGCAGGAGGTGGGGGAAACAAATAAGACATAAAGGCTACACTTTACAGAGGACTAATAAAAAGCTTCTTAGAGAGAATGGCCAACTTTTCTAGCATCATCACACAAATAACATTGATTTTTCCAGTGTAAATGCTTATGGCCTTCTCAAAGTGGATGAAGTAATAAACTAATAAAGTTCACAATCTTCTCTAGAAATGTATTGCTTCATCAAGAGCTCTTGCAGATAGTATACGCTGAGAATAATATTTGAATTAATGGCAGTGCATTTGTTATTCTTTGTAGTGTTAACGTAATAGTTGGCCTTGATGACATCTTTCATAAAGTGGATAACAATTCGTCTAAGACTTTTCCCATTGTCAGTTCTGACCGATCCAGTTCTCATGTTTTCTTAAAGCCATGGGTATCGTTGGATTATTTCCTCTGTAGACAAGTCATGCCACTTAGGTTTGGATGACAGGAAAAGCTGTAATAAGCAAATTGTGCCTGATATTTGCTGCAACTTGAACAAGCCACAAAAGGCTTGTTGGAGCTGCACTGATTGTGAGACCCAGGCCACTTTTCCTGATAACAAGACTTTTTTGAGGGCTATGTCTTTTAGTGTTATCTTTGTATTTATGCTGGATGCTTGGGAGGGGTGGGCGTGGATACACACTGTAAGCCCCTTAGGTTCCTTCCTATGAGTTCTGCCATCAGATATTTGTTCTAATACAGCGCTCCATCTTTCATTTGTTTAATATGCAATTTTTATTTAATATGCAATTTGTCTGTTGATGCACTTGTTGTTCTTGTTTTGTGGTAACCAGGGGAGGATCCACTGGCTGGAGACCAAAATGATCATGATATGGACTCAATAGCAGGAGTTCTAAAGCTCTACTTTCGCGGGCTAGAACATCCTCTCTTCCCCAAGGAAATCTTTCATGACCTGATTGCCTGTGTTAGTAAGTAGCATAAGAAAGAAATGAATCATTTTGGCAAGGAGGCTTGCATAGAAATGCAGTCTGTCTGTCCATCAAAAAAGGCAACACTTACCAGCTGATAAAAAGGAATTAACAACCACGAAGATGCAAAAAAAAAAAAAATCAAAAATCTTTACTATAACACAAAAGGCATTTTATATTTGGAGGCAGAAATATTATTCAAAGGCTAAGTGAAAATGGTAATTTTTAAGATGCTTACAACTTGTATGTAAGCAAAATAAACAAACTCACTTGGATCCAGACATGATCATTCTTTGAGCAAAAAACCCTTAAAATGTAAATTACTGGAATTTAAATTAGTCTAAACATTAGTCTGGATCCAACCCATTGTTAATATCATTAATTGATGCAAAGTGCTTATGAATCTAATACCAATAAACATATAATATATTAAAAGTACTATCTCATGAAAAATATGTCTGACTCAAATTGCATTAGGATAAACTGTCATCTTTGCTAAATCGCCGATTTTTCCACCTTTTGAAGTAGAAAACACTTTCTCTTGTTCATTCCCCCCCCCACAAAATACAGTTTATGATAACAACTTACTTATTGCAGGTTTTTTTCATCTTCTGTTTCTATCAAATCTTCCCTCAGCATCCTCAGCACTTTAGGACTTAGGCTCCTTCTTAAAAATCATGCAGCTAGCCTCTCAAAGCATCCCCTAATCTATAGACAATATCTCATTTTACTAGAATTTGATTGTACTAATTTGTTTCCAAGATGGCGGTGTTAAATGCAAGAGCAGATCAGGAAAGGGGAACAATGTTTGGGTCTCACTAGCCTTGATGTATTGCAGTAAGTTAATTCATTTGTGTGTTTATTTCATTATTCTTTTTTTTGTAAGGAAAAAAAACAAAAAGGATATGTACTTCCATTCATCTGGGAACTCCATAAGAGTTACCATGAGGGAGACAATATGTTCAAGGCAAACTGATTGAGATTAAGTGTCACTATAAAGGAAGCCTCTTGATAATTGCCCTGCCCTTTTTATTTTATTGGACTTAATGTCTTCACTGTTTGAAAACTCTGCAAGTTCAACATGGCTTAGACTGTAAACATATTTTTAGAAAGTCAGCAGCTGTGTCTTGGTTTTTTCATTACCAGCCACCTTCCATAACTATTAGACATTCCTTATCTTGATTCTGTGCAGCACATATAAAACTATTTTCACCAAGTATTAAGCTGGTAACTTGACTTAATCATTCCAAGGGTACTTTTTGATTGTTGCTTGTTCTTTTGACTTCTGGTTTTACAATGAACTGTTTAACACTGACTCACTCAAATAGCAAACAGTGAATCCATTGTCTGACTGTAAGAAGGACCATGATGAGAGCAGCCTTTGAAGTAGAATGTAGGAGAGCTCCTTTTAAAAGGATCTGTAGTTTCATTCTCCTAGGAAATGAGTCTACACAGTTTAACTCCTGTTAGATGAAAAGAGCAATCTGTTGCCAAATAATTCTGGACTTTCAGGGCCAAGGATTTATGCTGCCCACTTTTTTCCCATTAAGCTTCTATAGACATAGTTCTTTACCTCACGCATCAGTTATGTTAATTTATCTGTGGAATGCTATGCCAAAGATTTCCCTTAAAACACCCACCTTACTGAGCTAACTTTAATAGGCTGTTCTGTTGTGGCTGGTGCAACAGACAATAGTCAGTTCTTCCACCCTGGCCCAGTCTGACAATCAAATCTTGGCTTTGTAAGCCATGATATGTGCAAGGTGAAGATCAATAAATAGTTGCAGCTAAAACCACAGGCGATCCAATGGAATTTTTCTCAGGAAAAAGGAAGCACAAAAAGGTGAGCTCTTAAGGTTTCCCGAAAGCCTGTAAGGAGACATCTTGGTGTGGGCCAACTGGAAATACATTCTGGAGCTGTAGAATGGCTCTCTCCCTCAAGCCCAACATCTCTCAGAGGTGAGCATATCAGAAGAGCGCTCCTGGAGTTCTTAATGTACAGGCAGGCTTATAAGAGTATATACACTCATTAAAGTGACTTGTTGACAAACCACTTTAATGTGTGCATATTTTTAAAAAAATATTACTACATTTTCACCCCCCCCCCACTCCCTTTTTTTTCTTCTTGCAAATCATTCAGGGTGGTTTACATGATCCTCTCCATTTTATCTTCACAAAGATTTTGTGGGATAGCTTAGCCTTAACATTAGTGGCCCAGAGTCACACAGGGGGTTTGATGGCCAAATGGGGGCTAGAACCCAGAATTCCCAACCCAGCCCAAGTACTATACCACATTAGCTTTCTTCGCCACTTCAAACATGGCATTTCAAACCAAGCTCAGAAGCACACTGGCAACCAGTAGAACTCACACCTTGCAAATGTCACTTGAATTTCCCACCTTGCCATTACCTATACTTGGATGGCCACATTCTGCACCAGCTTGGTTCCTGAACCATCTTTAAGGCAAGTACTCATTTTCTGGGGGAAAGACCTTCTTCAAAATATGATATAAATCTTTCCTCAGTTATATTCTGGGAAATGTTTCAAGAAATAGTCATCCTCTTCAAAATTTAATTTCCTCCTTCCCTTCCACCATTTTTACACTTCAGGCCGGTTCAACACAGATTACAGGGTTGCAATTGCTTCTCTTTCAGTTCTAGGAATTTTGCAAGTGTTGCTGAGTTCCTAATGCATGTGTGTATGATAGGTTTTAGCAAAACTTTTGCATGTAACAGTTCTACACTGGATGCTTCCATTACCCATATCAGTGTAAAGCAACTCTTCAAATAGCAAAGCAAAGGTTGCATAGATGCTGTAATCTTTGGTCTTTTTGTCTCTTTCCGTTTAGCAATGGACAATCTGCAAGAGAGAGCTCTGCACATTCGGAAAGTCCTACTGACTTTGCCTAAAACCACTTTGATTGTAATGAGATACCTCTTTGCTTTCCTCAATCAGTAAGTATTTCAGAAAGCCACTGAGAAATCAGTAGCCTTGGTTTGCAGGAGATGAATCATAAGACAATAGAGTTAGAGTGGGTCATAAAAGCCACTCAATGCCTGCTTAATGCACAGGATATGCAGAGTTAACACATCTCCCACAGATGGCTCAATCTCCAGTATACACACAAAGAAAGAAATTGGCTCCATTGTCAAGCTGCTTTTTCCATTAAGAAGTTTCTTTTAATTTCCCACCGAAATCTAGCCTCCTGTAACTTAACCATGTTAGATCTAAACCTTCCTTCTGAGCCTTTTGACTATCTATGATGAATGTGGGCTCTAAGGTTGGCATTTCTGATCTGAATTGCTTCTTATCATTTTAGCATTTGGATAGATGTTTGGTGTTTTACCTCCTTTTTCTCTGCTTTAACCCCAAATTTTAGAAGCTTTAGTGAAGTTCAGGAAATTAACAGTATGAATGCTGGGTAGAGTATTATAGAGGTGGCTGGAGTTTGCAGTTTGCATCTTACTTTTTTTCAAGCACTGGAACATTTCCAGAAGTTACCCCTGAGAATTAAATTGTAATGTACCAAAGTCTTTCACAAATCTTTGCCTTCAAGGCAGCACTGAACGTGCAAAGAAAACAGGGTAGTAGCATGCCAAGCTCACAGAGGAGGAGAAAAGGTTCTTCTTTCTTTGTTCTTGCACTAAGATCGGTCCTGATGTGAGTTTGGCCTATAAGTACTGAAGATTTGGTCTTTATTTTCCCAGTCTAGTGCTGCAGAGCATCTGTGTGACTGAACACAGACTGAAGGAAATGAAATTTCTGATTTTGCAAAAGCAGTGGGAAAGAAGCTAGGAAGATGCAATGGATTTATATGAGGATGCAACAGGTCACACTGGTTTTGGTCATATAGTCCCTGCTGCTTGTAATTGGTTAGGTTTGGGCTAGAGCCATGACCAACTGTTAGGTATTTCCCAACCCTCTTATAGTGCTTCATTATAAAAGTGAAAAGCCAGGACATAATATTTTCATTCCATGTGAACAAAAAGCCAAAAAGGTTTTTTACATTTATAGACGCCACCTGGACCATTAATGTTGTTACTTGCATTTAAATGCAAATCATGTTAAAACCGCCCTATGTTGTAACATCCATAATCCAAGGGTACAACTTAGCAATATTTGCTCAGATAGAATAAGTCATATTTTGAGTCTTCCTGCCATAGTGCATTGGGAAACAATGGTGTCTTCTTTGCAATCTGGTAGAGTCAAAAATATACCCCAACAAAGTGTGCCATTGTCCTGCTACCCCTCCAGTTAGTTCTCAGTAGGGAGGACCGCACTTCCTGCAGTTCAGGAACAGAAGCTTTCCATAACAGTATTAGGAAATTCTCCATGCCTTGGGATTCCCATTTCTCAAATGCTGCTTCTTAAATCACTGAATGTTTGCTTCCGTTTTTAATAGTGCCTTATTATTCAAGGAACTGGGCTGGAAAGTAGTGCATGTTTCAAGAGAGATTGTCCACACATCTAATAACTCTGCTTTGTGTTTATCCATTGACTGGCTGCTTGAGAAGCCCAAATTGACAGGCTCAGTTTTATTCATGCAGACCTGTAGGTTAAGAAGACTGCATGGCTCTGCAGGAAACTCATTTCCCCAGTGCATGCTGTAATTCCTTCTACAAATAATTATGCAGATGTTCAGTGTAGCAGCCATCCAAGTTGTGTGGGGGCTGGGAGCTGGTTGTGAGAATATTGTATGTGAATGTGAGAAGCTGAAGCTTAGGTTCTAGATACTGAATTTTTCTAGACAGACAAGTTCATTTCTCATAAATAGATAAATAGGTAGGCATCAGAATTCTAGCCTGTCCCCTGTAAGATTTGCTGGGTGCATTAGAGTTGCAGTGTAAAGTATGTGATAAAATATTGTATTAAAAATAACTTTCCCTATTGAGAAGTCTTTCCCAGTTAAATGGTTACTCTCCACCATCAAAAGACAACACTCACTGGAAGCTTCATGAAATGCTTCCAAATGGAGATTTTGAAGAAAGGGAGCTGGCTAATTATTAACTTGGTTTGTCTTTTGCAGTTTTATAGGTTCAACAATAGCACTTCTAAATCATGGCAGTTGCAGACAGAACTTTCCAAATGTCGCTAATAAAGTGGGGTTTGTCAAGACCCCCAGCCTTTTGAAGTTGCGCCTCTGACTCCTGTTGTTTAACTTCTCATGTTTTCACTGTGTCATGCCGACTAATGTTCAAACTGCCTGTGACTGGCATTCCAGGTTGAATGTTGGCAATAGCACTTTAGTGTTCTCACCAGTTCTTGGGCAGCTGAAAGAGAGAGAGATGCTGTCTGTAAGAAAGGGTGCAAATGGAAAAAGTCAGAGGAAGCAGGTTGGTTGCCAGTTCTTTACAGCCTTGTGCTGTGAACCATGCGGTACTGGACTCAGTCACACTTTCATCTGCTTCTTGGCTGGATGTGAGGTGTTGCCGCTACAGCTGCTATCCATGCAGGGTGCATGGAACAAAATGCCCAGAAATAAATCTCTGGCAACAACAGTCAATCTGCATGGAGAATAAATCTCCTTAAAAGGGAACTAGATGATGACTCTTCCCAATTCTTTCTCTCTCTCTCTTTCTCTTTCTCTCTCTCACACACGCACACACACACACAAAAACAAACGTACAGACACACTTTTAACACATGCTCATTGTGTTAATTGAAGAGAAGGTGCTGGTTCTTTAAGAAAGAATTCAATGTGTTAGTGAGCAGGAAAGTGCTCTAAATCTGCATTCAGTGCAAATTGTGTTAGAGAAATACCACACATGCAAGCAAAATTGAATTTGATCCAAGGTGTCCTATCTAGGAAAGTTCCCGGCTCCTTTCAGTAAATGCAGTAAGAGCCATCAGTGTTTAGGTAGTGATTATTTTTCTCAAGTAGCCTCGAGACATTCCTAGCACATTAGATCAAGTTTAAAAAGCTGAGCAGGCAGAGCAAATCCTCCCTTCATTTTAGCAATTCTCTCCATACTGGGAGTTGTCGGTATTGTTGCACTTACTCACCCTCTTCCTCCTATTCGTTCTTCTGCAGTTTATCTCAGTTCAGTGAAGAGAACATGATGGACCCCTACAATTTAGCCATCTGCTTTGGACCCACACTGATGTCAGTGCCTGAAGGACATGATCAGGTCTCCTGCCAAGCTCATGTCAATGAGCTCATCAAAACTATAATCATACAGCATGAGAATGTCTTCCCAGGACCGAGAGAGCTGGAGGGCCCTGTGTACACAAGGGGTGGAAGCACTGAGGATTACTGGTACGGTAGGAGGTAATGGGTAACCAGTGAAGGGGGCAGAGTGTTAATTATATAATTCATAAATGGCATTATTTGGGCAGTGCTACTGTTTTCCTGTTTCGAATGCTGGTTATGGAATATACCCTTTTTCTGAGTGTATGCTTTGCAAAGGCAAGTTGGCTGCAGTTTAGAGTCCTGAATGCAACAGACTTTCCCACCCTAAACATGTAGCCACAGAGTACTTGGAGTATCTACCATGACTGTGCTTCATTATACGAAAGGGAACTAATCCACTCAGGCCTGTCCATGAAACCGTCTATAAGGATATTATGGTAATTGCCTTAATCTGCTGGTGAAAGCTGCACAGCAGACACATTGCCTAAATTCATCGCTGACATTCTTCTCATTTCTCTGCACGTCTTGAGCAACTTTACTTCAGAGACAAGGTCGATAGTGGCTGAACCTAGAAAGCTGCAACATGGTTTAATTTCAGGGCAGCAGCGACAAGGGGGAAAACTTGAAACCTTCATTTCATTCCAGCCCAGCACCCAGGGGGCCTGGCTGCACATTCAGTCTGAAGCGAACATCTGCAAACAATTCAGTTTGGAGCAACAGCTCCTGTCATCAGAGAGGTGGGCAGCAGTTGTAGTGGGGAGAAGGGGGCTGTTTCCTCTCCCCCACTGTTTATGGAAAGGCATAATGTCAAAGCAGTCCACTCATCTGAACCAATGGACGGGCTATCAAAATGTCCCTTTTGCTTCCCTCTTAAGTATTATGCCCGCGCAAACACAGAAAGCATATTCTTACATTCATATTTCCAAAAAGTGAAGCTTTTTCACTTAATATTAATTGTGTTCTGTTTTGTTTGCCATTTCCTTTTTTTAATGATGAAAGACCCCAAGCTACTTACAGAATGACCACAAGATTCATTTAAGAAGAGCTCCTACTAGTGCCTTTACTTAGAGCCTGCAGGACAGCTTGCAGTAATGTTCTCAATTGGGAAACAGTCCTAGAAACTTGCATGACTTGCTATTCCAGCTGCTTAAGTTTTCAGAAGGCATCTAAAATTATGAAAATAATGGAATCAATTAAGCTTATATATTATGGAAATTGGCTCTAAAGTGCCTGGCAAACTCTGGTGCTAATAACGTATTTTAAAATACTCTGGGAAAATGATTAATGTGTACTCACAGACAGTTGAAGACCCTTCTAAATATGTGTAATAGATGTTCTAGTTGTAATCTTATTTCTTGAGTAATATTATTTATGTATGTATACATCTATATATTTCTTTGTGTAAAAATAAACATTGCTATATAAAAATAAAACCAAACTTTGGAACTGCATTCTGAAAAAGTATAAAATGTGTAACATTGTAGGCTTTGAATAACTTTGCAAGCAAACTATAAATGGCTGCCTTCCCCCACAGCACAGAGGAAGTGGGGCTGTGGGGCGGGGGTGGGGAGTTGAGTGAGTGAGTGGAAGGAAGGAAGGAAGGTCTGTCAGGTGGAGGTGGAGGTGCTGGAATTAGTCCCATCCACTTTGGCTGGTGGCCCCACTCACTGCTGACACCCTGGCCCTGTCCTACACCATGAGACTCCAGTGTTTCAGCCATGAAACTAGAAATGATGAATAAGTCCCACAACACCTGTTTTTCCTACAAAGTGATTACTGCCCCCCAAGTCTATGGGGTGGAGAGGAGCAGCTCCTTAAAGAGGGTTTCATCTTCCAAGTTAAGAGGTGATCACAGAGTGAAGGAAAGGAGGGATGTCCCTATTTTGAGTCTCCACAAGATAGAGCAATTGCAAGGCTGAGGCTTATGTGTGATCTTTTCCATTGGTGGTTGTGAGGACTGTGGCAATGATGAGAGAGGAATTAGTCCAAAGTTTAGCCTGCTTAATTAAATGATAATTCTGGCCTCACCAAGTGGACCATTTTTTATTTTATTCATCTTTGATTACTAGAACAAATCGCTATCAACTTTTTAAGTGCTGACGTGAAAAGCCTCTTACTTTGTGCAGTCCATCTTTTTTTAACACGTTCATTTCTGCAGACACAGGTACTCTGAGCCAACTTTCCAGTCATTTCAGATGTCTATCATCATGGCAATCTTATACATGGCCTATTATGTGTAAGACAAACTAGAGAGAAGTTTTAATTTTGGAAAATGTAAAAATGAATTGGCCTGCACTCTAAAAGTGTGTTGCAACATTCACAAGACTGGAAACACAGAGCTTTCCTGTAGAAGATGAGAGGAGTAGTGTGGAATTACATTGTTAATAGAAAAAACACTTGAACATGTGAACCTGCCCTACCTCTCTTTTTTAATAGGTAAAGGAATTCATATTACTCCCTGTGTGGAGTGTAAGTTAGGGGAAGCATCACTTTCAATTGCCAGTGATGAGTTACAACAATGCTAGGATTATGTGAAACCATATGGAGCACTTGGCCTTAGCTTTTTGCACATGGCACAGGGGTCCCCTTGTGGCATAGTTAGTTTGCCTTAAAAAAAAAAAAAAAAAGAGTAAGCAGTTATATTCTTTAGTTCTGTCTGTTCATTGATGGGTTATATAAGTGGTCCCATAAGAGTTAGAAAGCAAATACCTCTTTAGACCAAGGAAAGGAATTCTGAATGAGAATTAAATGAGGGGAAGGGATGAAATGTAACAATCCCTTCTCACTGTTCATCATTACACTTTGGCTATACCGTACATAATCGCAAAATCTTTACAAAATATTAGCTATTCACTTTAAATCCTTTACCCTGCCTTGAAAATAGAGGAAGACTACCAGCACCTACTTAGAAGGCATTTCTGGAGGCAGCTAAAATGCTATGGGCTTATATGGATTAACTGTAAAGAGATGCTCAATTTTGTTCAGCTTGCATATGTGTGCTGACACAACTGCTTTTATTAAAATGGTTATTGGTTAACTCCAACAAAATGAAGTCACTTAGTCCATTTTATTGCATATAGCCATGGTTCATACAAAAGAGACAGAATGTGAAGCACATCATGATGCAAAGTGTTTTGTGTGTGTGGGTTTTTTTATTATTTTGCCTCTGTGACAACCAAATATTCTACAGAACCAAGTTTTTAATTGATACTGATACTACCATAATAGGGCAAAATGGTGCCTTCTAATTATTAGTGAGAACTCTGAAAATGTTCAAGCCCTCATACCTATTCTTCCCAACCCCTCTCAGTACAAGGCCGTATCCAGTCCACCTCACTGAAGATTCCTGTTGGGAATATCAGTCTCCAATGTTTCCTTCCTAAACCATAGCATGGGCACTGTGTAGGCCAGGCACTTAAATGGAGGATATGGAGAACCCTTGTGTGCTTCCTGCCCAGGCTTATTCCCTCACCATACTCCACTGCATAAAGGAACATGAGTTTGGCTCATGCCTCCTAGACAAAAAGCAGAAGAGGAAGACTGGAGTAGAAGATGGGAGATATACAGTGGCCTCCCAATCCCCTTCACTGCCTCAGCTGATAAGCAGGACACCACGCCTGTGTAGACTGGTTCACAGCCATAACACTATTAGTTAATATGTTTAATGCTGCTTAAAAACTTGTGCCAAGTAGCAATTATATTCCTGGGTGCTTCTGGGGACTAATTATCTAAGAAACATGGTGATCTTAAAAAGGAAAGGAAATTAAAATAGAGGTGAATGGATCCAATTTTTTTAGGATGATCAATAGCATTTTGGAGATGGAGGGCTGAAATTCAAATGAATGTAAATAAATATTTTACTTGACTATCCATGCCATTTTTTTCTGAAGACCTTTGAGCATAATACATAAGGAATGTGCACTGCATATAGAAGGGTTTTGTTTGTACCAAAAATGTTGGGAGAAAACTCTTTCTGTCCATCACAGACCTATCTTTAAGTGGTTTACAACATACATTCAGACATGTCCTGTTCACAGCTGTTGCATTTGCAACATAAGCCTCATTTTGTATTGCAACAGCTAATGCAACATTGAATGCAAGCGATTACCTTTGAATGCAGGACACCTTTTGCACGTGTTTTGCTGGCACAAAATGTTGAACTTGCAAAACATTTAGGAAGGTGCGATAGCTTCTCTGTTTCAGTTTGCAGCACTTCTCACTGGACGTGTCAGGCAGAAGTTGCTGGGAAAGAACAACTGCCAGTTAGAGCAGCCTGCACTGAACTAGATGGACCAATGCTGTGGCTCAGTGTAAGGCACATTTGTGTGCTTCTCCATAGGATGGTGAATGGAGGATGTTATAGCAGAGCTTGTAGCGCTCACCTTCTGACTCACTCCCTTGCCTATGCCTCTGGCATTGCTATGTGATGTGGGGACTTCCTCCAATACCCAGCCTTCTACAGAAGCAAGATTAAAGAGAAAACTTACTATAGTTTCCCAAGCTACAGCATCTTACTGGCTGAAACACACACATTACATGACCCCCAGCAAATGGTCAAATCCCATGGCATTTATGGGATATGAAAACCCCATGGTTTTCAACATCTACATGAAACTGCTGGGAGAGGTCATTCGGAGGTGGGGACTGAGATGTCATCAGTATGCCAATGACACTCAGCTCAACCTCTCATTTTCATCAAACTCAGGTGAGGTTGTTTCTGTTCTGAACCATTGTCTGAGCTTGGTAATGGATGGGGACCAATAAATTGAGACTCAGTCCAGATAAGGCAGAGGTGTGGTTGGTAAGTGGACTGTCTGACTGGTTGCAGGCCCTCCAACTCCTCCTGGAGGGAGACTCAGTGGCCAGGAGCACCTTCTTTCAGCTGCGGTTGATTTAGAGGCATTTCCCTGGTTACAAATGAGTTCCATTCCTGGGGAAAAAAAAACAGAAATTTGTCCTAAGTCAGATTTGTAAGTTGGATCACACAAAGCCAGCCCTCCACATTTGCAGGGGTTAGTGGTGCATGAACTCTGTGAAAGTGGAAAAACTGCAAATAGCTGCAAATAGCTCTTGGTTTCCTCCACATCAAAGCTCACCACTGCCACCTCTTTGCAGCAAGGAAATGGGGAGGGCAGGAAGGCATGCTTTGGAGGCCTCCTCCTCTCCCCTTTTGCTTCCTTCCTCCCTCTGTGGTGATGCTTTGGTGCCCTCCTTCTCTCCCCTTTCACATCCTCACTGTCTGTGGTGATGACAATTTTCTACAGTAGACCTTTAGCTCAAATTTTTAAATCAACAGGTTTTAAGTATGAGTTCTCCCAAACTTAGACTTTCGTAACTCAGGGACTGTCTGTACCAACTGTACCCCAAGCTGGATAGACAGAGCCTTGCCACAGTTATCCATGCCCTAAATGACTTGAGATCAGGATACTTAAAGGACCAGCTGCTTCCATATGTGCCAACCCAACCACTTAGATCTGGTTTAGAGGTCCTTCTAAAAGAACCATCCCCTAAAGAGGTGAAGAGAATGATGAATAGAAGAGGGGTCCCCTCAGTGGTTGCACCCTACTTCTGGAATAGACTCCCCAGAGTAGTATGCCTGACGCCCTTGTTGCAATCATTTTGGCACCAGGTGAGGACAGTTCTATTTTCCAGATATTTTAGTAATTAAATAGTGTTGAATAGATTTTAAATTTTGTACAAATTTTATTGTTGGTTTTAGCCTACTATACATGCTTAAAATAATGTTAGTTAAAGATCTATGTAGTCAAAATTGTATTACTGTTGTATTTTATCGGTTTTAATTGTTCACTGCCCAGGGAGTCCTATATAGGACTATCGGTACACTTTATAAATTTAAAAAGCAAACCAACAAATGTTCCTTTCCACAAGAAAGGAGCCGACTTCCCCAACCTGGCACCTTTCAAATGTTTCAGGCAACATGACCCAGGGTTAGGAATGGTGGTGTTGCAGTCCAGAACATCTGGAGGGCACCAGGGTAGAGAAGGCTGCAAGCTCAATATTGAATTTCGGGTATAACCAGAATACCTGAAGTTTCACATATCAATTATTTGTCTCCCCCCATCCCCACTTAGAAAACAGGAAGGCAATCCCATCAATGCAATGCTCCATTTGTTCTTCTTGCAGTGAAAGCCCCCATGGGGAGACAGGCTCCACAGAAGATGCAACTCAAGATATGGCCACTGAACACCATACAAGTGATGATGGTAAGTGTGTCTTGTGTCTTGTTTCAGTGTCTCCTCAATTAGTAGGTGCTTTCTTCTACCAGAAGGAAGGGGACCAATAGCACAGGTGGATTCATAGGCCACCTGGGAAAAGAAAGCTATTAATCCTGTGTGGGCAGCTCTGTGACCCTACAGGCAGTTTGGGGATTTCCTGGATGCCACAGCAGGCACCAGTAACATAGATTTGCCATCCCAAATGTGGGATGATTTATTGAAATTTCATTCTCCAAAAAATTGCTGTGCGCTCCACACAACACTCGTGCAGTATATCCTTGATGAGAAATCCAAAGCAGTGTTTCCATGAGAAGTTCTTGGAAGTCAGTAAGGAAAACCTGGGCAAGCTAGTGCCATTCTGTCCCTTTTACCACAGCTAAATGTGTTCCTCTTTCAATAGTTTTAGGTTATTAGTACCATTCATATATTCTTGAACTTGAAATATTCTTTCTGATAGTATGTAATATATCCACTGATTATGGGTACATGCTGAAATCAGTATGACTCAACCTGTAGTTCTTTTGATTTTCCAACTGCTTTAGTGATAGTATGGAATTCACTCTCTTGGGCTGAAATATTTGTTACACTCTCTATAAAAAGTGATTAGAGAGATCTTCAAATTGAATATTCTTTGCAAACCACAGCACAGATTGAGCTTTTCTGTTCAGGACAAAGTCCTGCTAAATTACAGAACTCCTCTGCCTGAGGTAAGGTGGAATGGCCATTTTGGCATGTAAGTGTGACCTAACTTTCCATCTCTAGCTATGGCATCAGCAAGTGATCAGCAACAGATAAGGCTCTTGTCTGTCATCATGTTTAGTCATTGGTCTTACAGAATTCCTGCACGGTAGGAATGCAATATAATAGCATTTTCCCAGATATCAAGGGAACTTGTTATACAAGTTTGTTGGAAAAATCGGAGTACCTGGCACGGCAAATTGGGTTTGAGCTTTTTGATCCTGTTGGATCAAAAAGTATTTTTAATACTTTACTGTTCTCCAAAAAGTTTAAGTGAAGTGCCAAAAGCCTGAAAGATAGTGCTGTATCACCTGAAAGGACTGTGGTCTCTGCGATTTTCGCATAGCCTCATGGTGGCTAACTTACGTTGGAATCATCTGAACATCCAGCTGCACTGTTGCATTAATTAGCTGGTCACCTCTGGCATGGAACACTTTGTTTACCCCTGTTTTCAGCTCTTGGTGCTGTGCAAGTTAGACCATGTTAAGGCAATCTTGACATTTTCCAGCATTTATTTAACAGTCCTAGTTTTATTTCCCAGCAGTATAGTTCCTTTTTGTCTTGCTATGTCACGTGCCAATGACAACCCTGTGGGGGAAATAACTTCAGTGATGTTGGAGCCTTTCCTGGTTCATTGAGTGCTGATTAATGGGAAGAGGCTCAGAGATGAGAGGAAGGCAAGCTGGTTGAGCAGTGAAAGTCAAAGTCCTTTGCTGGGCTAGATTCCAGAAGGGGATATTGGAAGTTAAGAAACCCGAGTGCCCTGCTGTCTTGATAGAGAAAATAATTGCTGGATGAAATGCACTGTTTCGTTTTTGGGAACAAAATGCAGAAAGAAGGCACTTCTTAAACAGGAAAGGAACATGTCAAGACATGTAAAAATCTAGAAGAAAATAGGAACCTGAATATTAAGCCACACGATCCAAGTTACATGAACTGAAAAAAGCCATTTTGAACTAAAAATATAAGAGAATAATGTATGGCCCTAGTAAGCACCTTGATTATTTGGACTCTATAAAATACTCTGTAATAAATCTGGAAAGCCCATTACTGAACTTTCGGGCCAGTCAATGAACTGGCATAGTCTTTGGTCAGTCTGCTTTGCAGCCTTGGGGGTTAATTCCATTTGCTCGGTAAGAGGACCAGTGAGGCGGATGGTCAGGTCGTGGTGTTGCAGACCCAAGCACATTCATCCTGTCCTTCCGAGCATGCTTGCCTAGATCACCACGAACCTCACACAAGGAAGAACTTCCTCCTTTAGCATAATCAATGCTGTTACTTTTTAATGTAATTGTTTAGCCAGCCAAGCTGAGAGTGAATTGAAAACGCTGCACTCCAAATGACAAATTGTCTGACATAAACAAAATTTGCCATCAAAGATAGGGAGACTTTGATTGGTGAGGTACTAGTGTGGAGTGATAAGAGATTGCAAAATAGGGTGAGACCTAGAATAATATGATGAAGAGCAAAAGCTAGGTTCCAAAGAGGTTGAGGTCTAGTCTTGACAAGGAACACATATCTCCAATGGGCCAAGGTTTGTGAAAGACTGCTTAAAGCTGGAGTTACATTGACTGCTCTTCCAAGTTCCTGCTAATCTCTTGAAAGAAGGCATTTTATTTTAAGAGCAGACAAACTACAGAGTGCAGGAGCCCTTATCGTATTATCTGCTTCAAGTGTCAAGTGTCCGGTAGAATTTACAGGGTGAGTTCTCAAATTCTGTTCTTAGATAGATAATCTAAGCAGAGGGCTTTCATTAAAATTGTATTTCTTTTTCTTGTAGAATGTGAACCAATTGAAGCAATAGCCAAATTTGACTACACTGGTCGAACAGCACGGGAGCTGTCTTTTAAAAAGGGGGCATCCCTCCTACTTTATCACCGGGCCTCTGACGACTGGTGGGAGGGCCGCCACAATGGAATTGATGGCCTGATCCCCCATCAGTACATCGTTGTCCAGGACACGTACGTTACCTTCTTCAAACTATCGGGGCACAGTGCTTAGAAGAACAAGGTCTGAGTTAATATTATTTCTGAGTAAGTGGGGGATAATATATACCACATGTTAAGGCAGGAATGGGGAACTTGCAACTTTTGAGGTGTTCTTGGACCCCCAACTCTCATTAGTGCCAGACTGCATGGTCTATAATTGGGGGTGCTGGAAATTGTAGATCAACAACACCTGAGGTCCGCAAGTCTTCACCCCACCTTACGGTATTCTGAACTTTAGATGTTCCATGTCATCAGGTTTCTGAATATAGTCTGAACAGTCTCCATGGATATAACACCCTAGTTTTGCAAACTGTCTTTTGCCTTCTGTAGGTTGTCTTCAAGTAAGACATTAATATTGGATGTCTCGGATATTAATGTGCAGCAAACATTGCAATGATGATGTTATAGTAACTATTGCAACTTTCTCATATCTTGAAAGTGTAACATAAAGTTTGTGGTTGTGACTTCTTTTCTTTGCTAGTGAGGATGGCATAGCAGAAAGATCAAGCCCAAAATCAGAAATAGAAGTAAATTCTGAACCACCTGAAGAAAAAGTGACAGCCAGGGCTGGTTCCAACTGTCCAACTGGAAGCCACGTTGCAGATATTTATCTTGCAAATATCAATAAGTAAGAGTCAATATCAAATTTTCTATGTTGTACAAAGAACTGTGTGTTGTTAGGACATTAATATAAATAAGGGTTGGTTGGGATCATTCTAGTCAGCCAGGGTGTCCTTAATCAGCTGTCTTAAATTTGTACTTGATTATATAAGCTGGTATCTTCTTTCAGTGGCTGAGAATTCACCACCTTCCTTGATTGCTTTCCCCCCACTTTCATCTCTCATTAGTTCAAGGGAAAAAATTCCTGCTCTGCTGCCCCTGGCTGCTACATCATGACCCGCCCCCCACAAGTTTTTTCAGTCTCTTGTTTCATTTGTATACATTTCCCACTGCCATACTACCCTAAATTCACATACATAAAAATAAAAAGGGTTGACATGACTATCATGGCTTTACAATAACCCCACTATGCAATTTACAATTTACTTGGAATAATAAACAGTGTACATCTAATGCATGCTCAGAAGGAGTAAATTATCTGGTCATTGTTTCCCCACTACACTGCATCTGATCTGAATTAGTAGTGGTTCATTGTCAGGTGCTTACTTACAATAATCCATTCCTAAATTGCTGCATTTGTTGTAACAGAAAGCCTGTCTCATTCATAAACATTTTTAAATGCTTGAGAATCACTGAATTGTCTTGAAGTGTTGGGCCAGTGGTTTATCTAATACTGATTTTGGGGGCATCTTAATTCACCCTTTATCCCCAGAGAAGTGTACTTGCCTAGTTTGGAATGAATGAGACATTCCTGAAAGAGTAATGTGAAGGCTTTTAAGAATTCAATTTGTGAAGGTCACAAATACCATTTTGGGCTGACATACGTTAGTCTTCTTGAACAGTAAAACTGTGTTTAGCATCTTCAGGCAAGTTGTCTTTTTTGTTGTATGGTTCTTTCCTCATATAACAACCCCCTGAGGTAGGTAGATTGATTGATAGGATTGACTGACCAAGGTCAACCATTGAGTTTCATATCCAATAGAGGATTTAAACCTGGGGCTTCCCATTCATAGTTCAACTATCTAACCACTATACCACATTGACTTGTTATAGGAAGAGTGAAAAATTGCTTTATATCAGAATGCTTATATGGTGATTTCAGTGTCCTTTCCTTTCTAGAATTGCCTGTGTTGAAATGATAATTCTGTGCCATTTTTTAAAAAAATATTTTCTGCTTTTATGATGACAGGCAAAGAAAGAGGCCTGAGTCTGGTAGTATACGAAGAGGGCTCCGTCAGAGTGACAGCCATGGACTGCCCAGCTCACTGGGAGAACCGGCCCCACCAGGAGCTGTAGCCAGTTCTCGTCCCTCGTCACAACCCATTATGAGCCAAAGTCTCCCAAAGGAGGTATCAGATGCGTGTTCCATTAGTGGCCATGGGAGTCTCAATTCTCTCAGCCGGCATGCCTCTCTGAAGAACAGGATAGATAGCCCCCACATCCGGAAAAATGTGACTGCAGGAAGGTCAAAGAGCTTTAATAACCACCGACCCATGGATCCTGAAGTCATTGCTCAGGTAATTAAGATCCTTGCTGAGTCAAGGTGGGACCTAACTTCCAGAAGCAAATGAACCCCTCCATCCCATGCCAACGGTTAGCTTACAAAATCTCCTTTGTGAATTATGGTGTTGAATATTCCCTAACATTCATCTAATGCTCAACATATGTTCTAGACTTTATTTAAATGCTATGATTTTGGCAGCAAATGTTGTTTGATGTCAGTATTTTATGTTTTGCTTCCGATCAGGAAATATCCCCTTAAAGGTGATCAAAACAAGTCAGGTTTTGAATTCTGAGGTAACCTTTGACTTTCAATTTGAAATATGATTTTTTTTTAGAATTCAGAATTTTGTTTTTCAGTTCTAAAATTTCAGCTCAGTTTGTGATTCTTCCATGCTCAGTTAATCCGAGAAGCATGGAGCACTTCCTAGGTCTATGCGTTGTAGGGCCAATTTTTCTAGAGGCACAGATGTTGGAAATAACCTATATCCTCTACTTAATGCAGACCACTTTCTACCCACAGGATTAGCCCTCCTGCTGCTCTTCTGCCACTTCTGCACTGCTGAAATATGGTGGTGCAGCAACAAAAAAGGTGGTGATTGGCCACCAAATTTCGGCAGCAAAATGTGACAGAGAATGTAACAGGATGCATTTAGTTTGTTTTCAAGCTTGTTTTACTCTTTGAATATCCCAGTCAGATTCTGGCAGATCCTTGGATACATAACCACATTTTGGTCATGTGTGAACTTTGAGAGAAGTTCTTCTCATGTGCGTCCATGCAGGAAGTCTTAAAGCCCTGATGGCCTAGTGCACTTAGTTCTGATCATGACAGAATAGTAATGCCAGACTATGTTTCCTATTAGCCTTATAAACAGTCCTTATAATAGGCAGTGTACTCATGATTGATCTTGCCAGATTCCTGAGCTACCAACAACTGAAATCCCACCAGCTATGCAAAAAGGTACTTCCGTATCTCCTTCTATCACCCAGGCCTTTGAGGCTGCTTGAAATTCTAGTTATCTGTAAATAGAGAAGTTGAAAGTCAGCACAGGGTGTTTACAACTCCTTTGCTTCTTCAGCATGCATCTTTTCTGTTGAACAGTATCATCCTGTCTAACTAAAATTCATCTCTTACTACCCAGGTGTTCCACCTGGGTGAGTAGCACGTATAAATGCACTTGCTCTAGAATTTTATATCCCTGTCTCTTTCTACAGTGGATAATGTAGTACTTTGATGAGACTAAAAGCCAAGGAATGGGCTCCTAATAGCATTATAACTACTCTCAGCAGTCCTGCTTTTTGTAGTACAATTAACTGAATTAAAATACTGTTTTGCATGGCTTTTCCTCATATTGTCATCATTCGTAAAGTTTAATCTTGTAATTTTGCTTCCTCAAATGGTCTTGGGGAAACATTTATAAAGATTGGTTGAAAGAAAGCCATGTAAAAGATTAATATTGCATGCTCTCCAAAGTGTGGGTATCTGTTGCAGAAAACATTGCTGTTCCAGTAGTGTTAGAACCCCAGTCCATGATGTTTGAAAAGCAGTGTTCAGTGTCAGTTGTAAACTTTCACCATTTATATGAGTTTATTTGATTGTAGCTAGGGGTTAAAGGATCCTGAAAGAACGCTGCTAGAATAAGGCAACTTGTCTTGCTTGTCTTTTCCTAACCCCCTTTTATGCTTCTCAGTTTTAATCTGTGATAAGAAGGTACCTTCAAACAAAGTAGCTCTCTTTATTTCTGCTGGCAGGAATATTGGGTGGTTTTACTGGGTTTTTGTGTGTATACACAGCTGCAGCCAGATGTGAATGCTGAGACTTTTAGACCAAGCCCACACAGCAAAGAAGCCTTCTCTCATCTTAATATTTCTGCCCAGTCCAATGGGGAAATAAGCTTTAAATTGTTCACTGTCATGTGATTCCCTTCCTCCCTTCAACCTTTGACATGCACACTGTTTTCACTAAAGGTTGATAGTGCAACATCTTTTATCTTGGTCTAGAGTGGGATACTGGCCCACAAAAAATGCTTTTAAAGAGTGCTTCAGCAAGGAAGTCTTGCATCACAATCTTGCTCGATTAGCTCTTTTCAGACCCAACTCCACATCTCTGTTCACATAATAGCCCTCTGTTCACCATTTGCTACAGAAGCTGATACAGTTTACTTTTCTGTTGGCAAACAAAATAATGAAACTCGGCCACTCTGTAGAACTGAGCAATTCCAGAACTTATCGGAAATCGTATGTTAAAACTGCTGGAGGCTTGAAATATTTTTCTGTTCTCCAGAGATAGCAATGCAGCTAAGAGTGTAAGTACTGTACTATGTGCTCAGAGAAGACTTTTCCATTGGTTGCCTCTGCAGCTCTAGATGGTACTGTTCTTGGATGCTTTTTCAGTACATGACAGGTCTGCCAAAAGATCAGGCGAACTCATATTTCATATTAGAAAACTAGGAATTCCAAGAAAGCAAGTTCTACTGGAAGGGAGATAGTCATAAGGCTGTTAGATGCCAAATGGAGACTCAGAGAATGAGAAGGTATTGCTTCTGGTAGGTTTCTGTATAGTTTAAAGTATATATATATACTTTATATACTTTAGAAATTGCAATTGCTAAATGACTGGGGAGCCTATGCAAAACATAAAAGTCCCCCCAAATAGGAATGGATCATTCTTTAAAATACCAAACTTGTGGCAGGTCAAAGCTTCCAGATGTCTGCTCTTTGAAGTAAGCAGGCGAATCTGGGACACATAGTATGCACAAACATTAAAATTTCTCAAAACACACCACACTACACCAACAGAACCTAAACAGATACACACATACAGTTTTGTACTTGTCTGGATCTTCATGTTGAATCCCGGTTATAAACAAAGCTTACACTCATAGAAAATCTGGGCTACAATCTTATGCCCATCTTGTGTCATCATCCTACCTATTTTGAAAGCATGATTGCATAATTGCATTTTTAAAAACTGTTTTCTGCAAGTCATTTCAGGTTCTTTGACACTGCTGAATAAATTACTGCATGTCATATCTGCCATGGCTAGCACCAGGGCTGGGATTTGGTTATATTGAGCAGCTGGGACCCCACTTCCATGCCTCTTGCCCCATCATCGCACAGTCCTTTATGTCTGCTGTGGTCCTCTTCTGCAGATATATTTTTGCCCTTTTGTTGGAATTAATTCCTTGTTTTCATTAGTAGATTATGCATGGATCAGTTTGTGCTGGTGTGTGTGCATTTGCAATGCTTTGAAAGATATAGATCAATCTGTTTTGTTTCTCAGTTAAACTCTGCTTTTAACCACTCTCCTCCTGCTCCAATCAAAATGTAACTCACTGTTTCCATGGGGGAATTGAATCAATAAAAGAAAAATGGGTTGTATTAAATGAGAGCTTCCCTTTCACATTTTCTCAGGTGTCATTTCTGATGCTGCAAGATACTCATCTTGTGTTTGACACCAGAATCTCTTGGAGATCTGCATTTTGTTTTAAAATCTTTTCAGACTGTGATAAGAGGCATTGAGTTACTGCCTTTCCTATGTCCTCCTCCTTGACTGATTTATCTCCCTGTATGCCTTAAAATGCCTATGAGGAAACTGTAATGTTGTAGCCAAACTGTGAGTCATGGAAATGCTAGATCATTTCAGCTCTCCAAGACTCCTATGACGCCAGTCAAGGCCACATCCATAACTGAAATTTTAAGTAATCTGTAACTCATGACCCAGCCAAGGTCAAAACTCAACATTGCCTTGATGTTGTTGCTTCCCATATTTTGTGCTGTTTCCTGCATTGTTCGTATAAAGTTAGAGATAAGTGGCATCGGAGTAACTTTTTAAATACATTGCCAAGGACTCTGTGGATTTTTCAAATGACATAAAGATACAAGTCTCTTCAATGAAGAGGTGGTGATGTGTGCTGTGCTCCTGGTGTGGCCTTGCATGTTAGTCATGTAAGCCGTTTCCATTCCATTCAGCATCCTCAAGCATCATCAGTATATTCAAAGACCCGATTACTCTTTGTCAGAATGATGATTTTGCAAGAGAGGATTGGGAAATGTTACAGATTGGCACTCACTCTTGACTGAAATTGTGCAACAGCCTAGCTTCAGTACCTCCTTTACACTACCCGTACAGCCAGCAACAGGGAGCTACCAAAAACACAAAGGATGCAAGACACATACACAGCAGACAGCCGCACCAGACTGAGTCCTTCAAAAAGCTTTCTGTTGTATCACAGCCAAAACATAGAGGCAACTGATTGTCAGACCTCTAGTTTGAAGAGTTCAAAAAGAGGGTGCAATTGCTGAAGTTCATAATGGGGAAAGCATAGCTCCAGCCTACCCATCTAGCTATGCAAAGCTATGTGTGGTCCAGCTGAAATACCTACCACTTGAACCTTAAAGGTAGGGATTTGGGAATAGCTTGGATTTGCATCCAACCAAACTCAGCTAGCAGTATGCTGGTTCTCAACTATGTAGTTTCCCAACTTACCTGTATTATGGGCAAGACCAGTGGATTTGTCTTGCCAAGAGCAACAGCGTTGGTTCAGGGTTCTTCAGTACAATGGTATCCCTGGTGTAACTGGAGCAGGACTTTTGAGTCAGCCACTGTCTGCCTTTGCTTAATAGTTTCTAGTCACCACAGGGAATTAGCTGAGCTAGATGCTAGCTCCTCATAATCACGTGTGATTTCTCTTTTACAGGATATTGAAGCTACTATGAACTCTGCTCTGAATGAACTGCGGGAGCTGGAAAGACAAAGCAATGTAAAACACACGCCTGATGTTGTTCTTGACACCCTGGAACCATTGAAAACCTCCCCTGTTGTGGCACCCACCTCAGAGCCTTCCAGCCCTTTGCATACTCAGATCCTCAAGGACGCTGAACCAGCTTTTCAGCGGAGTGCCAGTACAGCAAGCGACATTCCCTGCACCTTCAGGCCAGCAAAGTCTGTCAAAATGGCTGCCCAGGTCAAACCTCCAGCAACCAGGCCAAAGCCTGCAGTTTTCCCCAAAACCAACACCACAAGCCCTGCAGTCACATCAGCTTCTCCACAGTCTACTGACAAGTCCTGTACTGTCTGAACTTGAAACCCTACTGTGAATATAGTGTTTTTGTTTTCAGAAGAGGGGATCCTGTTAAAGAGACACTAACATTTCTATTTAATTAGTATTGAACTTCTGGTGAAGATTAGTTGGTAAGTTACTGTTGCCAGGGATATTCCCAGCAGGAAAACCCCAGGAAAGTAATTCAACCTCACTTTGCACCTCCATAAATGAAAATAGGCGCTAGGGCACCACATCTTTGCATACCTGAGACATAGAAAGTCTTGTCTCAGGTGGCCAGTGAGAAACCAGTAAGGAAAAGATGGAACTTTTTTTGGGGGGTGGGGGGGTTAACTAGGCAATGCCTTGTTCAAGTGTCTGATCGCTATGAAAAATCTTCAGTGTCCTCATGTTTGGAGGCTGTGTGCTTCAACCACTACAGGGAAACAGTACAAGATTGGTCATCCACGGATCATTTTGATCCCACTTGGGCATACCTGGAGCCTATTTTTGTGCATTATACAGTGCCCAGTGCTGCCACGAAGTCTAATAAGTTTCCATTACAGCTCTTTTCAGGGATACATGGCCTCGGTTTTTTGTCCTAAGTTCAAAAACTTCCAGAATAGTGCCACATAAGCAGGGCCTTGGTTTACTTTGAGGCATACAACATGCACAAATGCATGTAGTCATTTGAAGTAAACAGTCGTTCTGGGAGAAATCAGAAGTGTGAGAGCTTGCGTTGTTCAACACTCCCTCCTGATATCATTGCTTGGTGCTTCCAGAATGAAACACAACACTTTGAAGTGAGATTTTAAAACCATTTTTCCAGAACAGTTTCTGTGTCCTTTCATAGGGACTCAGGAGGCAAAATGAAAATACGTGTTAACTTTTGAAAACCAGCTACTGTTGATTCTCTCTCTCTCTCTCTCCCCCCCACCACACTCCATGCTGCTCTGCAGTGGTATTCTTTCCCCAAATATGTACATCTGTAATGTTCTTTGTAAAATTAAATGGGTTCAAGCCAAACCTTTTAGTTCCCAACAATCCTAAACTCTAGATTTGATATGATATTCTGAGCTAGCAGCTTGACCCTATCTCTGTGTGTTTCCGTGGGTGGGTGGGTGTCTTTTTTCCCTTGTGTCTCCATCTGCTGTGAGTTTGTGGTATGGCAGCATAAGGCAAATAAAATAAAAGCTGCTGTAGGACATGGGCATAGTCCAGTATGCAACATATTTCTGTGACAGATCACAGTGTTTTCAAGTACTCTACAGACAGTCAAATGAATCATCTTAGTATCTGGTAGTAATCATACTGGATTATAAGCGTTCCAAGTTCCAACAGACTGTATGGACTTTTTGTTTGCAGTGAATGGGAATTAATTTTTCAAGATGGTAACCATCTTTAAAAGGAAAAAAGAAAACGCACACTTCAAAAGCAACAGGGAATTTCTTTGCTGTTTTTTATCACCGCCAACCAAAAGAACTCTGAATTAAAATGGATTCTATTGCACTTCTTTGATTGTCAACTTTGAGGGCAAGATAAGGAACTGAAATGTTTTCTTTTACACTTTAGGCCTGAGCTGCAGTCTTGTTTTTCTTGTGATTTTATGAATGGAATAATTTACTGATACTGTAATAGAAGCAAAATACTTAATCTTCTGTGAACAAACTTGATGGTGGCCGTTTTGGATTAATATAAGTTTGTTACTTGGACAGACACTTTCTTTTAATCTCCTACAAGTTTTTAATTTTTTTAATGATTGTTGTTTCTAAAGAAGACTTGATCAGCAGTGGTAGAAAGGAAACCTTGTGGAGAGGTTTTTTTGGGGGGCAGTATTGTTTGTTAATGTTTTCACTATCTATTCCCTCTTAGATACATGCACACATACCGCATACGTGTATTTGTGTGTTAATTCTGTGTCATTGGCCTTTTCAGGCTGAAGTGAAAGGCCTGAGTACAGCAATCTCATCATTAAGGCTCAAGATGGGACAAATTTTCTATTCGGGATCATTCATTCTTCTTCTTAAAATGAGTTTTCCACGCAGGCAGAACTACTAGAATGTTTAGTTTTGTAAGATGCTGTTAAGGTTGCTGTCTCTTTAGCAACCCATTTGATAGGCTAATCCAAATGCCCAAATATCGAAGGCGCATGAAGCAACCTTAGCACAAAGTGACGTCAGCTCTAGTGTTAGGCTACTGCACAAAGTGGTCAGCAGGTAGAATTTCTTTATAGAAAAGATATTCAGCACATACCATCAATGCCTTATTTTACTAGGTTTTTGTACCGTGTCTTGCAGCAGTGAAGAACAGCCCAACCACCCAAGGCACCTTGCAACAAAATGGTTCTTTTGTGTCTTCAGATTGTTTTGGTATGTGGGTGAAAACTGGCATTTTTTAAATGGCTTGAGGTTTTTATGACCAGACTTTGTATATTTAACTTTGCCCCCCACCCTGCCACCACCACCCCAACTTTAACACTGGGGAGAATCTACTGACAAAGAAATAGAAATGTCAGAGTATGTATGTATAACATATCATGTGCTATCCAACTGGAATTTAAATGTGATCATGACCTATATTGCAAATCTACGTATGATAAACATACTTTCACGGGCAAGCTCTAAGCAGTTTATTTTAAACATGCATGACATTTGCAAAAAATACATAAATTGCCAAGTTCAAAATCTTTTGGTAGGTGATTTGGGATCAGTTACTATTCATGTCTCTTCATGACTGGAAAGGGAAGTGCTTTCTACACATCTCTGGTGGATGAATTACTGAAGAGAGAGAAATATAAGATTCAGAGAATACCTACACTACAAACCTTTATTGATTTTATTTCACTTAACTTTGATGGCTTTTGCAGAACTAGGCTTGATCATTTTGTTTTCGGGAGCCACTGAAAATTCTCTTAGTATCTCCCCCAGTCTCCTTCCTTACACACAGGGAACTGCAAACATCCAAGCTCACTGGGAAAAAAGGAATGACATTTCAAAAACTTATTAAAAGCACAATTCTATCCCTCCCCCTTATTGATGGATGGAGAGGGTGCCCCCAAACTCCCCACACACAACAGCAGAGAGAAGAGTTGCCGATTAGGGATGTTCTGGCATAGTGGAAGTCCCTACCATGCCTGAGCAGAAAGTTTCTACTGTGGGGATGAGTGGAAAGCTCTGGAACATGGAATTTTGGAGGAGAGGAGGAGCCAGTTTTGGATCCAGCTGTTGCTGTATTCTCAGTTTGGTTCCATCATTTACCCTATCCCCCTGCAGAGCTACTGCAGCTAGTTCTCTCTCCCACCCCCACCCCGCCCTGTCAGCAGAAATCTGAATCAGAACTGTAAAGAGAATTTTACAATTCCCTTCCAGCAGCTCCATGTAAGCTGAGAGGGTAAAGAATGAGACAGTAGAAGCGCCTCCTGACTCCTGGCAGCAGTCCCACTCAGGACGGCTGCAATCTCATTAACAGATTCTGAAAGTAAGGCCCATTAATTAGAGGGAATGCTCTGCCAAGTAATCATGTTGGATTTTGCTATTTGATTGTAGGTTAGATAGAACACAAAAAGCTAATGGTACAGCTGGAGCCCTCATTTTACAGATGTTTGCAAGAAGGGATATTGAATTCAGCCTAAGAAATGCAGCTTGACTGGTGCCAAGTAAGTGCAAGCCAATATGTTGATAACTGGAATCATACAGTTTTGTGCGCCAGTGACTTAGGCGAGACTGTTACAGAAGTGCAGAGGAGTGGGCTTAAGGAAACACCTTTCAAGGCAATAAGGGTATTTTTGCTGTTAGTCTTTGGAGCTGCAATGCCTTTGCCTCAGCTGCAACATCTCATTTCTTCAAAGTGGCAGTTGAACAACTTTCCATTATTGCTCAACATCCCACTTTTTAACTGTTTCTGGTAATTTACAAGCCCTTATGAAATTCTAGGTTTAGTTCACATGTCGATACTTTGAAATACAACTGACTGGCGAAGCTCTGGACACTATTAAATTACACTGGACAATATGAAGTGACATGACAGGCTGGAGGGTTCTGGGAGTTGTAGTCCAACATGTCTGGAGGGCACCAGGTTAGGGAAGGGTGCTCAACATATTTAGGCTTTGAAGGCTTTTTGTGAGCAAAAACAGAACAACCTCTTATTCCTGCCCCATGGTTTTGTTTGAATGGTAATATAATACCACAAGAATGTAGGAGATCTTTCAACTTTAATTCAACAGTGACAATGGCTTTGAGAACTCTGCTTTTAATGAGCCTTCTCCAAGCCTGGGACTCCTGGCTGGCTAAAAGCCTGATTCTTCTCCCAACCACTGCTGTTGCCCAGAAGAATTAGTCTGGCCAAAATTCATGTTGGCACTTTACAGTACAAACTATTGTATCTGTACCTCTGTGCCATTTTCACTTGTATAGAGCACTAGCATTTGATACTAGGACAACTCAGTATTAAGCAACTTCCTGGCATCCATTAACTGCTCTTGTCACTTACGGGACAATCTGAATTTGGGACTAGAAAAGGACGTCCCACCTATGCCCAAGCATTACCCCCCTCCCCTCTTCTTCCCCTTCCTGTGCAACTATCTCAAATGGAGAGCAGGGGAGAGAGAAGTGCACCTCCTTATTAAAGTGGGAGACACCTCCCACTTCTGTCGTATTCTCTTTTATGAAGTCTACTGCAGAAAAACGGCCACCCCTTTTCTCCTTACAAATCTGCGAGAAAGGCCAATGCAACTCGAGCCTTTTGAAGCCTGGTTGGAGCTGACTGGCTTTGTGGATCCAAGCCAGAAGGATTGAACACCTTTCAGGCTAAACATTTACTGTAATGGAATCTTTACTAAGATATATATATAGTTTACCTAACAAGCTTCAGACTTTCATTAAGGATAGCTACAGAATATCATGACATGTGCCTAAGAAACTAGAAGAAAACAGCCCCCTAAATGCAAGACTGCCTCATTCTGCCAGCGTGCACATTTACCCAGAACGTCTCAATGCATGTTCTTAGGCTGCAGGTCCTCAAAGGGCACCCTTCTGAAAAAAAGCACACCGCCAACAAAAGCTTGATGTGAAAATGGTGCTGTGAATATATATCACATATAGGTAACTGAGTCTTAAAATATTTTATTCATGGTGAAATATCTACCTTGCTTTTAGAGTTACAGGAAGCTCCCAGGAATCCTTCTCCATCTCAGACAATTATAAATGATGCTCAGACTGCACAAAGCTTAGGAAAGCCCAGTCTTGCCTCTCCGCTGTGTAGCGCACAAACAATTTATGCATGTGCAGTAGCTGCTTTTTAAACGTTTTTAACACCTCTACCTATTCTCATGCTTACAAGCAAAGGAAACAGAATTTAATAAGATGCTTCCATCTTGGTTATTCTTGCAAGCATGGGGGTGGAGAAGTATTTAATGGTTTAGGCTGTTTTGTTTTTTTACAAGTTTAAAGTGTCCAGGGTAAATAGATTTGATTTTTTTAAATATATATATATATATATATATATAATATCTTGTGAGCAGGATCTTATAGAAGACGTTTGTCCATACAAGTGAAATGTTCCATGGGATGGATATTCACTGTTCAGTTATTACAGCACTAGAATAATTTTTCAGGGCACTTCTGTGTGCTTTTCTCTCTTTCGTTTGCTCCCTTTTCCTCTGGAAGTAACAGGCTTTAATCTGCCTGCACAGAGCTTCATGGATTGAGTTCTGTGGGTGCCAAACTGCTAGAGCAATATATTTAAAGTATGATGTAAAAAAACGAAATCCATGTAGCCAAAATACAGCAAATGCTGACGCATATGAAAACAAATGGCAGCATTGTCTTTATTCTACTGTATGTAACACAGTTCAGTTGCACAGTCTAGTGATCTTCAACTTTTGTGTTTAAAATCTAATCCTGCAAAGTCAGGTTTGGGTCCATTCAGTGCATTATTTAGGTGGTTGTTTTTAATTAACAGCGGATGTTTTAATAAGTTTGGAATGAAATGTTCTTGTTTTAAAAGCAATTTTGCATTGTTTCTTATCTTCTACACCAATCTATATATATGGTGTATATATTTTCCTTTCAAAGCAAAACAAGCAACTGTAAAATTGAACTTTGTATATACTACTATGTACAATATTGGAGGTACATCTCTTCTTTCTTTTTGGTACAGTATTGTACAGTATTAGAGGAGTTAAATGTGTTGAAAATGTTAAATCCGTACTGAGGGGAAACAAATATATCTGTTGTCGTTAGCAATAGTTTTGGAGAAATAAATGTTTGGGTATGGTGGAAGTGCTGACTTACGGACAAAACTGTGTCATGTCTAATCTGTGCAGGGGAGATGGAGAAAGTGCTATGTATCTCTTTGAGAGCGGCCATCCTATTATAAGCATATTCCAGCAAATATCCTACCTAGCAAAGAGTGTGAATTTTTGTAAACCCAGAAGGTTCCTGATTCACAATCCATCTTATGGAAATATGACTGGGTTTTGTAACTTTGTATGCAAATTGGCCTTTTTAAGCCATGTGGAAGATATTGGACAACATGTTAAGCTGTAGTAGAAATGCAAAGAAGGAACTGAAATTTTCAACAGAATAAATTATCCTGATGCTTTCAAATGAGAGAGAGGAGGTCCAATTACCCCTTTTCAGCCTAAGGACCAAATTCTATTTTGGAGCCACTCTTGGAGGTTGCATTCCAGTGATGGAAGGGACCAAAGGAAAACATGGCAACCACCCAACCTCCAAAATGTATGCAGCCACACATGTTAACATGTTCTGAAATCCAATGCATCCTCATGCTGCATACAGTCTCTACATTGCCTGTCTCCTCAGATGAAAGCAGTATTGTGAGGACATGGACAGAATTCCTCCCCACTTAAAAAAAAAGATTGGTTAGAAGAATGATGCCCAGTTGCTATTCTTCCTGCCATCGAAGTGGGATGGTGTAACTTGGTGTCCTGCAACAGCAGGGAGTTGGATCCGATGGCCTCCATGCCGCTTCCAACTCTACTATTCTATGATTCTATTCTATGTTTCCTTTTGAAACTGGAAATGAGTTAGCCAGGTGTCTGGAAGACAGCCCTCTGCTTGAAAGACTGTCAGAGGATCAGCTGTGTGAAGGGCCATGAAGTCCAATGCTGTGCCAACAACAGCTAGAAGAACTGTGGCCAGTCAGCAGCAGCTGAGCAGCAGACCAAGCAGGAAGTCTGGGAGGCCACCTGATCTAGAATTGTCCACAGTGTGGTAATACATACTCTATTTCTCTTTAAATTATAAATTTGCACATCATGTATAATATTTGAAGGTCACCACCTGAAATGGAGGAGGAGCTAAATAACAAGTGAAAAGTTTCTTTCTTTTCAAGCAAGCTATCTCCTCAGCCACATCTCAGTTAATCTCTCCAACACCAAGAAAGCTCACCCTTGCTCCTCAGTGATCCAAAGGAAGCTATGGCATCTGGAGTGCTTGCAGAAAGACAAACAAGATGGGAACAAGGAGAGCAGAGTTCTGACTAGTCCACAGGGAAATGAACAGAGCAGAAAGTGTAGCTCTCCAGATAGTCCTGGGTTTGCTCAAGTCACAGAAATGGGCTCCTCTTTCTCCCCATACAATCTAGAAGTCTAATAAAAGAGTCCACAATTCACCACTAGCCTTAGCTGAGCCCAAGGCTAGTTCCATGGGGTAGTGTATTTGAACCAAATCTGTAAGAGGACACATAATCATACCAAAATGGGGAGTTAGCTGCATATTAAGTGTGCAACTTTACAGAATGGAACGTGTGCAACTTTACAGAATGGAAATTTGTGGCACTTTGAAAAGCAGGATATCTGTCTCCATGTCATTCAAAAATTATGACACTCATCCTTCTGCTCTGATATAAAGTAGTGGGACCAAGGACGGCCAAAAGGCTTGCACAGAAGTGTCTCTGAGCACTCTTCCTCTCTCAGATGGTAAGTTCTCCACACTTTCATGTTGATGTTCATTACTAGGTCCTAGACCTACTTGATCAATGTACCCAACCATTGTAGATTCCAGTTTTTGTGTTCTGGGGCCACTGGTATTTTTTGCAGGAGTACACCAGTTACTATAATGAAATTCGTGCGATAATATTAACAAAGTACCTTCCAACCTGCCCAGTGGCCGTGATGATGTATGCACCCTAGAATCCTCTGAGGGACATAGATGTTTCATGACACATATTCAGAGTATCTTGAACAGATAAGATGATGTGACCATGTTCCATGAAGATGAGACAATTGGAACTACAGTCAGGCAAGGAACAAAAAGAACAGGATGGGAAATATAAATGAAATAGTCAAGCTACTGCAGAGGCACTTCCCACTGAGATGCGTGTGATCAGTGGGTCTACTATACAGAGTGGGTAACCTCATATGGCCAGGGTGTGCCAGCTGATCACAGACATCTTACAAGGATACTCTGCTTTGCTGTTTGAACATGGCAAAATAAGGCATCAGTTGGAGGAGAATAATAGACTAGGAAGAAAGGAAATTAACTTCATCAAGTGTCCAACAAACTATTCTGTGGAGTAGGGAGAGATTGGGATTTGGAGATAGGTGCTAATTATAACCCCAAGCAAGACTTCCATTCATGACACCCAACAAAGTAGCCATGGACTATATTTGGATCCTGCTTTTGCAGAATATGCTTACGTTTAGGCAAGGGTCAAGAGGTGATGAAGAAAAAAACCTTTTTTATAAATGTGTGGGAGAAACCCAATACCTATGCTGCCTGCTAGTTGTGCAGTGATATAGCTGTACAAAAGCTAATTCAGAAATTTGAGTCTCTAGCTTTCTGTCCTTTGCATTTTGGAACTGCATTTTCCAATATCTAAAAATATAACCTGTTGTCATCTTTCCCCATTTAGTTTAGTGTTTAAGGATAATGATAGCCTTCCTGGGCCTTGGTGATGCTCCAGTAACTGGCCATGAAACTGCTGCTATTATTTCCACTGAGATCATGTTGATGATTCACAGGGAGATTAATGTAAGCAGCAATATGGAGTTGGACTTGCAGACATGCTAGCCTGATGCCTCTTGTGGCAGAAACCCATTGCTTCGCACAGCTGTGATCTGCTTCCTGCTTCTATCAGCCCTATGAGTTCTGAGAATGGAATGGCAAGTCTCCATAAGCCACAGAAACAGGGTGATCATCTGCAAGAGGAAAACAACTAGCATTGTTTGCTGCAGAGGGTGTGGGAATAAACAATGACTTGATGTTAATAACCATACACAACGGTTTCAGTGAGATGCTGTCAGCATAATTTGCCTAAAGAAAAAACAGACAGGACTGAAAGTATTTGGTGAGATGCTGGAGTAGAACCCAATGGCTATTCGAAAGGAGTATAAGGAACTGACTGAAAGAAACTGCAGGTTTGCTATGCTGAGACCAGTTTACCAGGTCTTGGCAAAGGCAATCAGCAGATAATTCCTATTAGCAAAGATACAACTTAAACATTCTAACAAACTCCACTCAAGGAATTGCATGGTTTGAAGAGCCAAGGATGCAAGCATTGTATGTGCCTTCCCCCCCACAGGTGCCAGTTTTGCAGAAAGCCCACCCCTCCCCACAGGTGATAAGGCAAGAGCTACTGATAATGAGTGATTTCCCTGCAATTTGAGGGACAACTTTATAAATAGCACTGCTGTCTGCTATAGGTATTATAGGCAGAAGCAGCCTAGATCAAAGGAATGTTGGTTTTCAGAGGGAAGTTTCTAGCCCTTATTGTAGCCAGTCAATGCTTGGTAACAATGACATTTAATGAAGGCTCAGAGGGTCAGTGAGGAAGGATTCACTGTCATTACATAATACTTTTGCCTTCCCTGGGCATGGGCTGCCTTCCCACCTCAATGGGATTTTGGCAATGTAGGTTGGACAGCCAAGTGGGACAGGCCAGCATAGAGGAAGAGTGTGTGTGTGTGTGTGTGTGTGTGTGTGTGTGTGTGTGTGTGTGGCATCTCCTACCCATTTCTAGTCTTCCTACATTATCATTCTGTTAGTAACTAGAACTACAGGGCTCTGTTCATGTTTCCAGACAGGGAGAACAAACAGCCCAGTATGTGAGAACTTCACAACCTATTGGTGGTACCTCTTTCTTACACTATATATCACACAGACACAAACGCTCACACACAATTTAGTGCTCCTGCACAAAATCACCCATGAGGAACACCGCCATCTGGACACAGCCTTCGTGTCTTCTCCCAGCGCTGCACAACTTGGGCACTCCAAATACATGGCATGTAAGGAGGCGCAGCAGCAGGTCTGAGCAGAAACCCAGCTAACCAAGTGATCTCGGCTTTCTTCCCTCCTCCGTCTCAGGGGCTTCCTCCATTGGCCTTGACCTTTGACTACCCAAGGAATGTTAGCTGCTAATGAATGTGGAAGCTTCTAATGCTTTCCATGCTTCCTCAGCTCTCATCCATTTTAGATTAAACACACCTGTCCCTTCACTAACAGGATGTGGCTGAGCATGACCACCTCCTGCAATGCCTTGATTACAAAAGGTTTCATCTTGGTGCTGCTGCAGAGGCAGCCTGGGGGCCGAGGGGGGGCAGCATCCACCAAGTCACCCCCAGCAGGAGGGAGGCAAGCAAAAGGAGTGTTTTCTCATTCAGAGGGTGCTTCCTTTTCTTTTTTCTTCTTCACCTCCTCTTATTTTGTTTTCCAACAGGAGAAAACCACATCATATTTTTGTAATTATGGCTCTAAACGTCCCCTGTGTTCAGGTTCCAGGGAGTTAATTATTCACAGTAAGGTTTGGTTTGGGGAAGAGGAAAGGCTTTTGATGTTTAATCAAGCTGTTTTCTGTGCAGGGCTGAAATTCAGCTGCTTGCAACAAGTTCTTCTCTCCCTCTCTGGTTTCACAGGAGGGAACAATGCCAGGGTTCAGGGGAGGGATGAATAACTCCCCATCCCAAAGTGATGCAAGGGTTTTAACTCATTCAGCCCTGTGTTTCTTCTTCTTGTTGTTGTTAGTTGCGAAGTCCTGTCTGATCCATCATGACTCCTGTCCTCCACCATCCCCCGGAGTCCACCCAAGCTCACACCAACTGCTTCAGTGACTCCATCTAGCCACCTCATCCTCTGCCGTCCCCTTCTTCTTTTGCCATCTATTGTTCCCAGCATCAGACTCTTCTCCAGGGAGTCCTTCCTTCTCATTAGGTGGCCAAAGTATTTGAGTTTCATCTTCAGTATCTGGCCTTCTAGAGAGCAGTCAGGGTTGATCTCCTCTAGGACTGACCGCCTTGCAGTCTAAGGGACTCTCCTCCAGCACCACAATTCAAAGGCC